AAGCTGTGTGTATTTGTGTTGTATAGTTATTGTCAAGCTGTGTGTATTTGTGTTGTATAGTTATTGTCACGCTCTGTGTATTTGTGTTGTATAGTTATTGTGAGGCTGTGTGTGTTTGTGTTGTATAGTTATTGTCACGCTCTGTGTATTTGTGTTGTATAGTTATTGTCACGCTGTGTGTATTTGTGTTGTATAGTTATTGTGAGGCTGTGTGTATTTGTGTTGTATAGTTATTGTCACGCTGTGTGTATTTGTGTTGTATAGTTATTGTCACGCTGTGTGTATTTGTGTTGTATAGTTATTGTGAGGCTGTGTGTATTTGTGATGTATCGTTATTGTCACGCTCTGTGAATTTGTGTTGTATAGTTATTGTCAAGCTGTGTGTATTTGTGTTGTATAGTTATTGTCACGCTGTGTGTATTTGTGTTGTATAGTTATTGTGAGGCTGTGTGTATTTGTGTTGTATAGTTATTGTCACGCTCTGTGTGTTTGTGTTGTATAGTTATTGTGAGGCTGTGTGTATTTGTGTTGTATAGTTATTGTGAGGCTGTGTGTGTTTGTGTTGTGGCAGTTGGCTGTGGGAGGCTGTGTGTATTTCTGTGTTGTGGCAAGGTTGTGAGGCTGTGCGTGTTTGTGTTGTATAGTTATTGTGAGGCTGTGTGTATTTGTGTTGTATAGTTATTGTGAGGCTGTGTGTATTTGTGTTGTATAGTTATTGTCACGCTGTGTGTATTTGTGTTGTATAGTTATTGTCACGCTGTGTGTATTTGTGTTGTATAGTTATTGTCACACTGTGTGTATTTGTGTTGTATAGTTATTGTCACGCTGTGTGTATTTGTGTTGTATAGTTATTGTGAGGCTGTGTGTATTTGTGTTGTATAGTTATTGTGAGGCTGTGTGTATTTGTGTTGTATAGTTATTGTCACGCTGTGTGTATTTGTGTTGTATAGTTACTCTGAGGCTGTGTGTATTTGTGTTGTATAGTTATTGTCACGCTGTGTGTATTTGTGTTGTATAGTTATTGTGAGGCTGTGTGTATTTGTGTTGTATAGTTATTGTCACAATGTGTGTATTTGTGTTGTATAGTTATTGTCACGCTCTGTGTATTTGTGTTGTATAGTTATTGTCACGCTGTGTGTATTTGTGATGTATCGTTATTGTCAAGCTGTGTGTATTTGTGTTGTATAGTTATTGTCACGCTCTGTGTGTTTGTGTTGTATAGTTATTGTCACGCTCTGTGTATTTGTGTTGTATAGTTATTGTCACGCTGTGTGTATTTGTGTTGTATAGTTATTGTGAGGCTGTGTGTATTTGTGTTGTATAGTTATTGTCACGCTCTGTGTATTTGTGTTGTATAGTTATTGTCACGCTGTGTGTATTTGTGTTGTATCAAGTATCAAGCTGTGTGTATTTGTGTTGTATAGTTATTGTCACGCTCTGTGTGTTTGTGTTGTATAGTTATTGTCACGCTCTGTGTATTTGTGTTGTATAGTTATTGTCACGCTGTGTGTATTTGTGTTGTATAGTTATTGTGAGGCTGTGTGTATTTGTGTTGTATAGTTATTGTCACGCTCTGTGTATTTGTGTTGTATAGTTATTGTCACGCTGTGTGTATTTGTGTTGTATAGTTATTGTGAGGCTGTGTGTATTTGTGTTGTATAGTTATTGTCACGCTGTGTGTATTTGTGTTGTATAGTTATTGTGAGGCTGTGTGTATTTGTGTTGTATAGTTATTGTCACGCTCTGTGTGTTTGTGTTGTATAGTTATTGTGAGGCTGTGTGTATTTGTGTTGTATAGTTATTGTGAGGCTGTGTGTGTTTGTGTTGTATAGTTATTGTCACGCTGTGTGTATTTGTGTTGTATAGTTATTGTCACGCTGTGTGTATTTGTGTTGTATAGTTATTGTGAGGCTGTGTGTATTTGTGTTGTATAGTTATTGTCACGCTGTGTGTATTTGTGTTGTATAGTTATTGTCACGCTGTGTGTATTTGTGTTGTATAGTTATTGTCACACTGTGTGTATTTGTGTTGTATAGTTATTGTCACGCTGTGTGTATTTGTGTTGTTGTATAGTTATTGTCAAGCTGTGTGTATTTGTGATGTATAGTTATTGTCACGCTCTGTGTATTTGTGTTGTATAGTTATTGTGAGGCTGTGTGTGTTTGTGTTGTATAGTTATTGTCACGCTCTGTGTATTTGTGTTGTATAGTTATTGTCACGCTGTGTGTATTTGTGTTGTATAGTTATTGTGAGGCTGTGTGTATTTGTGATGTATCGTTATTGTCACGCTCTGTGAATTTGTGTTGTATAGTTATTGTCAAGCTGTGTGTATTTGTGTTGTATAGTTATTGTCACGCTGTGTGTATTTGTGTTGTATAGTTATTGTGAGGCTGTGTGTATTTGTGTTGTATAGTTACTCTGAGGCTGTGTGTATTTGTGTTGTATAGTTATTGTCACGCTCTGTGTATTTGTGTTGTATAGTTATTGTCAAGCTGTGTGTATTTGTGATGTATCGTTATTGTCAAGCTGTGTGTATTTGTGTTGTATAGTTATTGTCACGCTGTGTGTATTTGTGTTGAATAGTTATTGTGAGGCTGTGTGTATTTGTGTTGTATAGTTACTCTGAGGCTGTGTGTATTTGTGTTGTATAGTTATTGTCACGCTCTGTGTATTTGTGTTGTATAGTTATTGTCAAGCTGTGTGTATTTGTGATGTATCGTTATTGTCACGATGTGTGTATTTGTGTTGTATAGTTATTGTCAAGCTGTGTGTATTTGTGTTGTATAGTTATTGTGAGGCTGTGTGTATTTGTGTTGTTTAGTTATTGTCACGCTCTGTGTATTTGTGTTGTATAGTTATTGTCACGCTGTGCGTATTTGTGTTGTATAGTTATTGTGAGGCTGTGTGTATTTGTGTTGTATAGTTATTGTCACGCTGTGTGTATTTGTGTTGTATAGTTATTGTGAGGCTGTGTGTTTTTGTGTTGTATAGTTATTGTCACGCTGTGTGTGCTTGTGTTGTCACCATGCATCACAGTAGGGCGTTCTATTAATTGGTTAGATTAGCTTTCAGGTGAGCTGTTGTGATAGTCCCTGCTTTTGTAGAATGAGGCTCTTGATGTTTTGATTTATGATCACCATGGGGCTCATTCAACGCTGCCAAAAATAAAATCCCCAGTAAACATCACCTACGGCTCCTCAGTCTCCACAATTAGCAGACACAACGCTTACAAAGACCTATTACCAAGTAATTAATTCACAGATCTCACCCTACTTCTCATGCCAAGACCTGTAGGATGGCTACGTCACTAATGGATTTGTCATAAAAATGCCAGTCAGTCACTCAATATCTTTTAATGCCAACCATTTTTTTTTTTTATTCATTACTGCTATTTGTAAATCGCCAACAGATTCCGCAGCGCTGTACAATTAGTGGAGAAACGTACAATATACACAGACAAATACAAGAGGTAGATTAAGCCCTGCCCGTAAACTGATATCTAGCCATTGGAGCTCTTTTATACAAAGTGCTTGGCTAGATGGCCCATAAGCTTACAATCTAAAGGATACCATGGGGATTTGAGACAAGAGGTTGCAGGGGAAGTTTGGCGGTGATGGCTAACATAGAAGCAGCTATTGGTAAGATGTTAGGGGAATGAAGAGGTAATTGAGTGATCTCGATGTGTATCTTGGAATCAACAACGGAACATTTAGCTGGATTAAACTCCGTTCCTGAGATCCAAATAAACATGTCTACAAGTATCAAGTAAACTGCATCAGCGATGAAGAATCCATAGATTAGGATTTGTATTCTGATCTATCTGAACGAACCCTCCCCCATACTATTCCCAAGAGCAGACAACTTATCTGGACCCGCTGAATGGAACGCATGGAATAGTTGCTTAGTCATGACTCCAGCAACCTTGCATCATATCTTGCTCCTGGAATTTGGACCAGCGTAAGGACCACAAGAGCAATGACCCTTTAAACTTCTATCTTCAAAGTTGCTAGCATTGTTTCTGGTCACGTCATTTATTTCCTCACTCTTCCTGTAATAGTAAATGGTGAACTTTCCCTGTGCAGTTACCACTGCACTTTAATTCATTCACCCATTCACCTTCTCACCAAGTCATGAGCTCGAAGACTTGGGGTGAACAATAAATTCTGCATGTCATTCTCCCACCGGGCTATATTTTCAATGTTGCCATTTTAATCTAAATATTGGAATGTATGTATTGATTCAACACAATTCTATTAAAGTATTGATTGTTGTTTTAATATAAATGTGTGCTTGTTTCAACTCATTTTAACAAATTGTTACAAGTGTATGTTGCTTTTTAATGGAAAATTGTCGGATCTGTTCAGTGTTTGTCACGGGAGTCGCACTCCAACACGCTGGAAAAAGGAAACCCACAACAGGTGGATCCAAAAGAAGTATTACAGGGCGTTAGAATGGCTTTATTAACGCATTAATATAGCGAGAATCAAGGTGAAGGACACAGAAATACACAGAGTCAGAATACCAGAAAATCACGAGTCAAATACCAAGCCAGGTCAGGATACCAAAATCACGAGTTGTAGCGGAACCCCTTTGGCTGTCCCATCTAATTCCTTTTATTGTTGGCACTGCAGAGTTTTCCCTGTGCCCGGATTATACAGAATTGCATGCATATGTAGCCACACTTTGTTCGGTAGAAGGATATACCAGCTTGCAGGTGAACTGCTATATTCACCATACGAACAAAGTACCGAATCACCGGACCACCCTGGTGAGAAGAATGGATGTGATTTACCTCCCTGATCGCTTGTTACATTCCCTTGAACATTCTGCTATATTTCATTTTGGCAGCCGAACACGTGGCGGCGGCCATCTTAAACCCGCGAACAGCGGTGTTTTTTCGTCGAGTGTCTGGAACTCAAAACGGACACTCGGCTAAACGAACACCGCTAAGACCTCCAGGGCTTCAGAAAGAACTAAGGGAAATGCACAAATGGCCTGTCGTTCGGTAGGATGAATCCCACGAACTAGGGGATTCATCCGGTTACCAACTTCATTGTGGATGGTATAGCCTTTCGGGACTTTTGAGGCACAAACGGAGACTGACCGCAGGGCCACATCTCATGGAACTATTTTCGGCTGCTTTACCCATGCGGTCGGTCAAAACTTTACCTTCTCATAACTCCAGAACCCCTGGTCTGATCTGGGTGATTTTTGGATATGTTCCTCGCCCAGATCAGGTGTACCCAACATATTTGGGGTACATCCAAGAATTGGGGAAAAGTGTGCACTGTATAATTATGTTAACTGTTAATCAAAGGGGAAGAGATGTGTGGGAGGTAACGCCTATGGGATTGGTTACTGTACTAATTGTGGTGAATCCCTCCCTTGCATGGGAGAATCTCATAAAAGCAGGAATGTTGCCATTAAAAGTCAGTTCTACTCCTGATACTGTGTGTCGTCCAGTGATTGGGAAGGGTGACGGGATACTTTTGGATTTTATTTGCTGATTGTGCTGGATACTCTCTTGGATTTATTACTTGTTCCTGCATTCTTTTAATACATGAGTGGAGTTAAGCTGTGGGAAATCAGCTCTCTGCTACACGAGTCAAATAGGAAGCCGGGTCAGGTGCCAGAAATCACGAGTCAAATACAAAGCCAGATCAGGATACCAGAAATCACAAGGTCAATAGAAAGCCAGGTCTAGATACCAGAAATCACAAGGTCAATATGAAGCCGGGTCAGGATCACGAGTCAAAATCACGAGTCAAATACGAAGCCGGGTAAGGATACCAGAAATCACACGGTCAATAGGAAGCCGGGTCAGGTGCCAGAAATCACACGGTCAATAGAAAGCCAGGTCTAGATATCAGAAATCACACGGTCAATAGGAAGCCAGGTCTAGATACCAGAAATCACACGGTCAATAGAAAGCTAGGTCTAGATACCAGAAATCACACGGTCAATAGAAAGCTAGGTCTACATACCAGAAATCACACGGTCAATAGGAAGCCAAGGTCAAACACAGAAAATCATTAGGGACTCTTTAGGAGCACAAAGCGAGGATCTATACAGAAACCACAATAAGGCAATGAATGGGGGCTAAAACATGCCTTAGATAAGCTTACCTATGTTCTCCAAATAGATTAGGATCGTGGTCACTTTAAGAACGGGCGTGAGGTCACGCCTACTTTCTATTTATAGATGTCCTGTCGCGTGGATCGGTTAGACTGCGCGGCAGGAGGTGGGGAGTGCACTTGAGTGTTCCGCGCAGTCGGAGGAGGGCTACTTGGCTCGAGGGAGGTAAGTACAAGCTACAATGGTAAAATCAGTAAACAAAAATTTCAGTCCATTGTATCAAAAAAAAAACATTGAAAGAAGACATAAATTTCCTATTCAAAGTCGTTTCTATACATTGTGTTGCCAAATATGTTCCAAGGAGAGCTAATGCACTCAAACCCTTTCAAACCAGATGGTGATACAGACCGACAGTTATACCAACTGGATGACTGCTCACTTCCTTCACTCAGCCTGTCCAAAACAAAATGTCCGTTCTTCCTCCATTTAGTGTTGCTACTCTCTGGTCTGTCTACCTTCAAGTCAATGGCGCCACCATCACCGCTACCTCGCTGCGTAGGTGTTCTCTTGACCTCTTCTTGACCCCCAATCATCAAATCCTGCCGCTTCCAACTCACTTCTTCAGGAAGAAGCCCCCAGTAAATACTTTTCTCACAGCCTTCTTTTCTATTCTGCCCTTACCTTCTCCCTCTAGCATGTAAGCTCATTGAGCAGGGCCGTCAAACCCTCTGTTCCTGTGTGTCCAACTTGTCTGGTTACACCTACATGTCTGTTAGTCCTCCTATTATACAGCGCTGTGGAACTTGTTGGTGTCATATAAATAATAATAGTAATACGGACAGACATTGAAATAGACAAAGATAAAGACAGACAGACAGTGATATAGAGAGACACACATTGATATAGAGAGACAGACAGTGATATAGATCATGGTACGAACAGTGGTAAAGACACATAATGTGATACATACAAATAGACTGTGATACAGACAGGCACTGATAGAGACAGACCGTGATACAGACAGTGGTAGAGACACATACTATGATACACACAAATAGACTGATACAGACAGACACTGATATAGACAGACCATGGTACAGACAGTGGTAAAGAACCATAATGTGATACATACAAATAGACTGTGATACAGACAGACAGACACTGATACAGACAGACAATGGTACAGACAGTGGTAGAGACACATAATGTGATACACACAGACATAGACTGATACAAACAGGCCATGGTACAGACAGTGGTAGAAACACACACACTGTGATACACACAAACAGTGATACCAATGTAATACAGACAGACGTTGATACATACAACATGCATCAAAGTGGTAACAAAGCTGTGAGTTCTGATCAATGGTTATTCCTAATGATTTAATACAATGTAACAATATGTGTACTGACTGCTCATCGTTAATTCCAGGTAAAGTGTGAATCCCTCCTGGGTGGCCCCAACACCAGCAGACCCGTCTTATCAACTTATAGGGAAATAGAGATGGCACTACCCTTCTATTATTTATAAAAACACACTTTATTCTATATAATGTTCCAAAATAAACAAACATAATACAATATAAAGTTCAAAAGCAAGATTTTGCTCTTTATATTTCTGTCTGATGTTCATTTGGAAGACAGACATAGGAAAAGTTATTCACTTAAAGTGTGAATTGCTGCAGAGCTCCCCTCCACCCCCCCCCCGTGTTCTGACATTAATCACGTTTACTCTGTATAATAAAAAGGTCCTAACTTCAGCCAAGTTTCTTTCCTATTTACTTCATAAAACACAATACAAAAATTGGACAAAAGGTCCCCAAAGAGAACGTCAACATGTCACGTAGTATAGGGGAGATGTTTCACTGCACCACCTTAAGACCAAACGACAAATGTAAATCTATAGTAAGAAAGAAGAGAGATGGCACTCACAAGACGGGTATGAAGTACCAACAATTGTGGTGCACTTTTAGCTGATCCCAGGACACACTCCCAACATGGATGTCAGCACCAATAACGGTGGTTCCCATGAAAATCTGTAGGCAGAGGAGAGACAATGCAAAGTGGGCATTAAAAACAACATTGTGCCGGCCTGCTGCCCACAACACCAGTCTACTTAATAAGGATGCTAAGCAATGGCAATTTACTTAACGTGAGCCAGTCATTACTCACCTCCAGTCCAGTGCCGCTGTGTCTCAACCAGAGGTAGAAGTTCCGACCTCTCTTCTGATCTCTCTGCTTGGAGATACTTCCCTCAGTGATGCCAACCTGCTTGCTTCCTTGTCAGCCTGCTCTAACAGGTAATGCCAACTTGCTGAAACACGTAATGCCAACCTTAGTAAACAGATAATATCAGCCTGCTGAAATGGATAATGCTATCCTGTTTTTAATAGATAATGCCAGCCTGCCATATCCAGGTCATGCGGCTTGCTGAAATGGACAATAGCAACCTGGTCAAACCATATGATGCCATCTAACACAGTGACATGTCTGGGTCCTCCACATAACTGGTTAACCCAGCCTTTTTACAAGAGATCAAAAAGAACGAGCAATCAAACAAAATATGAAATTATATTTTTACTGAATGACATAAATAGGGCTTTAGTCAGCCCATAAGGCCATGCTGTGTGATGTCTAACCCTTCATCAGCATGCCCCAATATCAGTGGTTCCCAAACTAATCTGCAAAACAGACAGAATATCTGCATTACTGGAGCTTGTTCTTCAGGGACAATAAGCCGAGTTATGTTAATGGTGCACAAGTCGGTTGTGGTGTGCCGAAACCGACATTCGGCTCGGCCTGTAAAAAGAGGAACCGGCCCACCAATTTAAATGGCTTGCTAAAGGGAGTGGTGGGTGAGGTGAACCAGACAGTCTCAGCAAAGAGGGAGTGGTGACCTGTGCATTTATAGCAATATCCCCTGCCACAACTACAGGATCTGCCCACAGGCTCAGCCTTTCAATTTGTGGTCAGGGACAATAAGCCAAGTTATGTCAGTTGTGGTGACTGAAACCGACATTCGGCTAGGCCTGTAAAAGAGGGCAAAAAGTTAATAGTTTAACACGTGTCTACATTACGCCATCAATACTTTACATTTTATCAGCATTTAAAACCATACCTGAAAGAGAAAATTCATTAGTGGGAGATGCTGCGTAACACCAAGATATTGGTTGACCTATGTTATGCCAAGTGGTGAAACAATTAAGCTACATTGGTGACTTGGGAACCTAACTAGTTGCCAAGTGGCGATGAGAGGCTCTACCTATGATTTGACCCGTCCTCAGTGAGGATTAAAGATATTTAAAATAAGTTGGCAGTGACAGATGAGGCCCTAACTGTTTTTGCCAAGAGGGCGGAGATGTGAGGCAGTAACTATGATTTGGCCCTAGGGGCGAACACCTCCGTACTGGAAAATTGGAGTTGGCCTCGTGAGACAGCTAAATAATGGCACAAGAAGCCGAAAACTACTTATGGCCATTAAGGTACCCTAAGAGCCAGACCAAAGCTAAAGATAAGTTCTGTAGAGCGAGTGGTGGTTGTAAGAAGGGAGGTAGTATCTTAATCCAGGCACTTACGTGGTAACTTGAAAAACGTAAATGCAAAAGAATAAATGATAAGACATACACCTGGCAGATAAATAAAAGCTGTGACGGAACGCTGGCACTCCGACTGAGTACCTCCGCCAATCGATGCTCCTAGCGCCTGCCGAGGACTCCGAGAACTCCAACCGACACCATCAGCACTGCGGACCTCACTTCCAGCGATGCAGCTGCGACGCGGTCTCGCCGTCTCTTACCCACCCTGGATCCACGACCAGGATCCAGCTCCCAGTGGGTGAACCTCTCTTAAATCCAGAGAGCGTAGCAGGAACAAATCAAGCTCTTACAAGAGCTTACTCTGGGGAGTAAGTGATTATAGCAATCCCCAGAGTGTAGGTATCCCTTCCCCCAAGCATGAGCCAAGGCTTCAAGAAAGGTGCAAGTAGGTCTGCTTTATTGAGGGCTACCTGCCTGGTATTTATGCAAGTGTCCACCAGGTGGACACTCCCCTAGGGGACCTGATGGAACAATGGGACACATATTGGATATTAGCCAATCACAGACAATACAAACAAAACACTCCCACAGTGACATCACAATCCCTCCTCTCTATCCTGGAGATAATTGGGAAGTAATCAAATTATCTCCCAGGACAGAGGCAAGACTCCATTAACCACATGGTTACAAAAAGACATAAAATTACACAATGTTACAATTACTACATAAAACATATACATACAACATATCCCCAGATAGCGCACATTATCTGAGCGCACATTATTACCGAATGGCGCTCAGATCACATGCATAGAGTTCAATCGCCATGGAGCCAAAGTCTTTTCCATAGTCTTTCATTACACGAATAGACTCCATGGCATAGCTATCTGGGCTAGCACTACTCACATACTGAAGGTCCCGAATGCCCCAGGAGAAATACACAAATAAATCTTTCTGCAGGGTAAAATACAGCTATCAGCACAGGGGCCATAGTCGGAAGGCAGGAGGCTAGCCAGTAGTCCCCTTCAGGCACAAGTGGCGAAGGGCACTCCATCACAAAAGCTATGCTAGAAGTTGATGGTAAGAATAGGTGAATAGAAAGTGGAGGGCAAAATAAAATGTTTACAGAGATCCAAAACCAAAATCCAGCCAGAGAGAGAGACCCAAGAACTTAGTGTTCATAATTCAGATCTACGACACCAACGAAAATGCAACAGAGATTGCCGGTAAGGTAGGTAAAGTAAGTGCAAGAAGCCCAGGACACAAAATACTCTATTAATATCTGTTACCAAACTAACCGAAGGAAACTGAATAGTGTTATAAATGACTCAGTTGACCATGCATGCAACCAGATATGCAATGGTCGGCATAAAGTATACCTGGTGAGACTTTACATAATGATATAGGGCTTTAAGGAGTTGGCCAGAATAATTGAACAGCAAGACCCCTGTGAAGTATATGTCAGGAGGTGAGGGTACGGTTCCCAAATTATCAAGTTCGGGATAACAAGCCGCAAGTGGCATAGTGACAGAAAGGCATAATATAAAACATAACAGTGCAGACATGGAGTAACTGAAAATTAACAGTTTTCATCAAAAGCTGGTACCGGATACCTGATTGTACAGAATTTAGGCATGAGTTCCCTCTGCACATCCTTCCACTAGAAGGACCGAAAGTGTGTATGAGAAAGAACACCCTGAAAACCCCAACCATCACATTAATCAAATCCAATAGCGTACTGCAGGAAGGGAAATACCAGAACTAGCAAGTGCCTTAAGGTGGAGGTACTAAACAGTTAAAATAGTGACAGACCGAAGAAGCCTGGATATGTTAAATGAATAGTAATAGGTACCAGGTTCTCGGGATAGTGCCGAGAGAGGGAAAAGAATTGCGTGGGCCTAACGAGGCCATGTGTAATATTGGAATGTAGTATGAAAGGTTGTATTTCTTTGACCCTCGTATATTAGAAAATTGACGTATGTAATTGCCCAAATGAGGGGCAGAAATCGCCATAGTGCCAGTAGAGGGCCATGTGTAAATGTATTGAGTGAAGGCTTTGGGAGGGCCATATGTAGAGGTATTGTAGTGGAAGGCAGAGTGCTCACTGTTAGTCCTGAGCTGCTGGATGGAGAAATAGGGCTGTATGAGGGGTACGGATGTATGGAACAAACAAAAGAAGGATAAGCATACCGAGGTGCAGGTGTTGTGAAATGGCCAATAGTGAATACCTAGTTTTTTTGGTCCAGTCCATTTGTAAAGGTAGTGTGACGAGACCAATCTCGCCACATTGCATTGGAGAAGCCTGGTTGCTCGCCTGCTGCCTTTGGACTATGGCCCCCATGTTAAAAGACTTTGTTTCGCCTGCAGAAAAGCTGTATTCGTGCTTTTCTGCCGGTTGTTCGGTAGATTCAATCTACCGAACAACCGCACAAATGAATAGACCACCTGGGAGCTGGAGTGTGCCGGCAATTAACCTCCCTGAAGCTGCGGTTAACCGCAGCTTAATTGACAATTACTGGGTGGTCGCGGTTACACCTAGCCGCCACACGATGGCGGTGTTATGGAAGCTCCCCGGGTAGCCAGCGCTTGTTCTACCCAGCGGCAGGACACCAAAAGCGGACACTTTTGTCTTACAAGCCCCGCTGAGGCTGGAAGTCTGCAAACCCGTTCGGGAACCGAACAACGGAGCATCCGGGACTTTTAGTGCTGCAATTGTATTCGGTGTGCAAGTACCCAGATAGCCTGCCATGGAGCCTGTTCGTGGAATTAAAGACTTTGGCTCCATGGCGATTAAACTGTATTCGTGTGGTCTGAGCGCCATTCGCTTAATAATGTGCGCTCAGACCTGAGCTATCTGGGGATATGTTAAATGTATAGTTTTAATGTAATGTGTCTTACCTGGTGTATTTTAACAGTAATGCTTGTTTTAGTATCCCCATGTGCATAATGGAGATTTGCCTTTGTCTTGGGAGATAATTGAATTACTTCTCAATTATCTCCCAGGGCAGAGGGGAGGAAGCCAGGATGCATTGTGGGAATATACTGTGACTGTGTGTCCTATTTGTCTGCTTGTCTGTCCCTTGTCACAGTCTCCCATTTGGTCCCCTAGGGGAGTGTCCACCAGGTGGGAGACCTGCATAAATACTGGGCAGGTAGCCCTCATTAAACAGACCACTGCTTGACCCTCAACACGGAGCCTTGTCTCGTCTTTGGGGGGGATTTACTGAATGCTGATAGAGACTGATTGCTAGGAGTGTAAGCCGCTTGGATGCTTTTCCTATTCGTCTACTAGCAGCAATTCGTATGGTTCCTGTTCGTCTGTTTGGAGTGCTATATTGGATGCCGTTCGTGAGTTTGGAGCATTCACTTATTGGTGGTTCGTGTGTTTGGTGTTCTACAGTAGCTGTGCCTGCATCTCTGGAAAGGGGGCCGATCGCCTAAACGTTTTTTACCCCTTTTGTGCAAAACGGTCCATTACAGGTAGAATTATTAGTTAGGCTAGAAGGATGGTAAAATGGCATGCAGTGGAGGCCGACTAAAAGGATGACAAGTATACAACCAACACAATAGATTATATGGTGTCTCAATGTAGTTGACTTGAGACAGAACATTGCTAATACTGTGCAAAGTGACAGTATGTGAAGTAAGGATACAATGTGTAGAATAAGGGATTAACATCCCAGGGAGTTTTGCAGATTTAGGGCTGTATAGGTCTAGCGAGTATAAGTGATGAATGAAATGTAAGAAAGAGTGGTGTATACATATAACCCCCATGCTGCGAAAGGTACTTATGCATATCAGTCATATGATGGGAATGAAATGAAGGCCCAGTACAGCAGTGTGTGAATGCATTGGACCTGAAACAAGACCAAAATAGCATTTACTCACAACCTTGCTATATGTGAGCAGTTTCAATATGAGATCTATGACTGATTTAATAAACTCGTCTAAATAGATATATGTGAACTGAAGTGCTTAATGTGAGGTAAAGATAGTGTACATAATGGAGGGATTACAACTACCCCATGAAATTGGCCAAATGAGGGTCTTAAGAAAAGATATGTTGCCGATTACATGTAGTATAATGGGGTAGTATGCAACCCCTGTAAGACCGCTGTAATGCAAATGAAGTGTCCAAATGAGGTTTTGAATTAGGACATGGCATGCAGCCCACTGTGGGGCATATAACCGCACATTGCAAAGGCCTAGTGAAGGCCATGAGTAGGAAATCGCGTATAATACCAGAAAGTGTCCCAATTTGTGTCCTGAGTTACAGGATGGTTGTGCCGCTGTGTTGGGATTAGTGCGGGTGAAGGTAGGATGTGAATCAGAGAATGGTTGTGGAGAAGTTGTATGTAGCCAAGACATGTTGGTGAGGAGATGGTAGAGAACATGATAGAGTTACTAATAATCATCTAGTTTATGAAATGGTGAAACAGAATAGAACTTGTATGTAAACACTTATAAAGCATCATATAACACATACCCACGGAGCCAAATAAAACGGTGTTGTCAGACAGAATTAAACAGGAACAGAGGCCTCTAAAATGCCACAGTGGCTGAACAGGTTAGAGGCCGTGACAGCCATATATAATCGATAGGAAGAGACAGGAGATATAAGATATACGTAAAAAAAAAAAAAAAAACCTACATGTGGAATGCCTAGGTCCCTAGGAAGATGAAAAATACTTATGCATGTAAGATTAGGGTTGAAAGCAACAGCAAATGCTTGAACAATGGTAGAATATCTCAGTAATATTAACATCAGCTAAAATTTGCTTAAACCGAACATAACTGAATGAGGTTTACATAATGCGTGTAGACCCTACAAATAAGACAGTAAAAGTAATCACAATACCTAAGCCAGCCTATTATGGCCAAATATGATTGACATGTGTTAGTACAACCGATAAACGAGCGACCTAAGTGGGCTGAAATGTTAACAGTGTCTAAAAAGTGGATGAGGTTCTACTGTATAAGGTGGAAAATTGATGTGCTTGAGTGGTAGAATGAGGCCATAGCAGACAATAAATCATAAAATGCTGTGATCGAACTGAAAGCCCCTACTAGGTAGAGTAGGGCTTAACTATAGGGCACATTAAAATACTCGTAAAGTAGGGCTTAAAAGGATCACTATAGTGTCAGGAAAACAAAGTGGTTTTCTTGACACTATAGTGCCCTGAGGGTGCCCACACCCTCAGGGTCCCCCTCCCATGGCGCTGAAGGGGTTAACCAGCGCAGGGCTCCCTCAGTACTGGTGACCTCGCCTCCCCGTCCGACGTCACTGGAGCCGAATGCACATTCAAAGTGTCCATAGGAAAGAATTTCTCAATCCTTTCCTATGGACGCTCAGCGCGATGGAGGCGAAATTCACATCCAGCGTTGCAGATGCGCCTCTAGTGGCTGTCCGGAAGACAGCCACTAGAGGCTGGATTAACCAAAATATGTGTAATATGTGAAATATGGATTTCATTTATTCCATCTACCGAACGGAGAGCTATACTCACTGATGCTCTGACGGTTCAGGGGGAAACTACCAAATGAGGATTGGATATACTAGGTTAACTTACATGAGGTAAAATGTACCCCTCTGTCTCATTAGAGATATCTTTGCCAGAAGCTCAAGGAAGCAGGCTGAAGGGTCAGTGTTAGGACCCGCTTTGGGGGGTCTGCCTTGACGTTGGAAGGCAGACATTCCTTCCAATGGCCATTGGAGCAACTAAATGACCTCCATTTGTTTAAATATACATAGGGATTAAGGAGAGAGCGCAGGTAACTTTCTTTTCTTTGGTTTTTACTATATATTGGGGCTGATGTGTACTGTAGTAATAGCTGCCGGCCCAGTAGTGATGGGAATGAGCGCAGGACTTATATTTTTGTATTTGTATTTACTTTGTATCACACAGCCTTGTTACAATGCTGCCGCCCATCCCATGTGTTCCCTATTAAGGGTTAATAAGTATATAGGGGTGTATATAAAAAATACCCCTCTCTGTCTAATTAGAGATATCTTTGCCAGAAGCTCAATGAAGCAGGCTGAAGGGTTAGTGTAGGACCCGTCTAGGGGGGTCTGCCTTGACGTTGGCAGGCGGGCATTCCCTCCAATGGCCATTGGAGCAACTAAATGACCTCCATTTGTCTAAATATACATAGGGATTAAGGAGAGAGCAGGTAACTTTTTCTTTTCTTTGGTTTTTAAAATGAATACTTGCCTGGGCCGGACACGGCGGTGCCCCATAAGGGAGGAGGCTGTTTACTAGTGAGGTAAAATGAATACTTGCCTGGGCCGGACACGGCGGTGCCCCATAAGGGGGGAGGCTGTTTACTAGTGAGGTAAAATGAATACTTGCCTGGGCCGGACACGGCGGTGCCCCATGGGGGAGGAGGCTGTTTACTAGTGAGGTAAAATGAATACTTGCCTGGGCCGCACACGGCGGTGCCCCATGAGGGAGGAGGCTGTTTACTAGTGAGGTAAAATGAATACTTGCCTGGGCCGGACACGGCGGTGCCCCATGAGGGAGGAGGCTGTTGACTAGTGAGGTAAAATGAATACTTGCCTGGGCCGGACACGGCGGTGCCCCATGGGGGAGGAGGCTGTTTACTAGTGAGGTAAAATGAATACTTGCCTGGGCCAGACACGGCGGTGCCCCATGAGGGAGGAGGCTGTTGACTAGTGAGGTAAAATGAATACTTGCCTGGGCCGGACACGGCGGTGCCCCATGGGGGAGGAGGCTGTTTACTAGTGAGGTAAAATGAATACTTGCCTGGGCCGGACACGGCGGTGCCCCATGGGGGAGGAGGCTGTTTACTAGTGAGATAAAATGAATACTTGTCTGGACCGGACAAAGCCAAGACCAGCTTGTCTGGAGGCAGTTTGTGTTGATGACCTTTGTACCGGAAGTAGATGGTTCTGTACTGACCCAGACAGTCTCAACCCAGAGGGAGGGGCGACTTGTGTATTTATAGACTGGGTAACTCCTCCTACAACTACAGGCTCCACCCACAGGCTCAGCCTTTCCATATATGTATATATTTAGGAGTCTAGCCAGCTCCATGGGTTTTGCACCCCTCCCTGTCACAGGTGCCTCATCTCAGGACCCTATTTAAGCATTGTACTGCAGAGACCTCGAGATGGAAGGATTTCCCCAAGTGAGTAGCTCATTTAGCAGACATTAGGCTGCTAGGATAAGACCTGCCAGATATGGGGTACATTGACGGTGTGGAAGGCTCATGCAATGTATGATCATATAATGTAACTAAACCCCCATTATTTTTTGCCTAGATTAGGTGTTTTTAAAAAATTAACAAAATTTGTCAGCTCACAGCAGCACCCTATTTATGTATGACTGTTACACACTTTTCAGTAAATACATTACGGGCCCCTGTGCGATCCGGGCTCCAAATATACACAGAAACAGCAAATTGATCAGCAGGACATTGCTTAAATAGTGGCACTGCTAAACCATCTGCTCTACCTGAGAGTACCTATGTGTACAAAAATATATATGGCCTTACATACCTGTATATGATCAACCTAAATATGCCTGTCCTATCTTGAATGACTGTAATACACACACACACACATATATATATATATTTCCCTGGCACAGTGTGTACCACAAGCCAACATACACCGTAAAAATGTGGGTCTGTGGAAAACCCAACATTAGAAAGAGAAGCCAGCAGACAGGTGAGTACTTGGCATTTATCCATTTTATCACAATCTATTTGGTTGTTGACGTCCTTTGCTTGACCCCCCTGCACAATAGTCTTGTTTTCAATTTATTAAGTTTCACATTTAGCCAGTGAACTTCATGGGGGCCTAGAAAGAAACTTCAAAGTGTCACGTAGGAAGCCACGTTCCATAGTGTCACCTACCCAGAGATCCCGGTCAGTCTGCCTCCGGCCACTTGGAAGAGATTCTCTGCATCCTCTGCCAATAACGAGCTGACTTTATCTGATTGTTATTACTTCCTGCGGGAAATGGATTATACTGAAGTAGAAGTATTTGGAGTCAAACAAATCCCGGTGCACAGACGCCACTATTGTCTGCAGAGCAAATAATGTTACAAACTCTATGAGATATCAGTAAGCCCTATTTTTACCTGATCCACAAATGCTAATGTATAATTCACATGGCACGAAGAACGCAATGGAATTGTTTGGGTTCGTGGCTATTGAGGAGTATTTTATAAAACACACCACACCGCCAGCAGTGGCAGTATATATTGACCTGTCCAAGCTCTTCTCACTATCCGAACCAGCGCGTGTGTGTAATGGGAGTTGTACTACACGTGATGACTCGGGCTGGGATTTTGAGGTTTTACTCTATTCTGTTCCTATTGATTTGTTCACGACTGTTACAAACTGCCATTTGTAACTGTTATTTTATTTGACAAATTGCCCTGCTTCCCTGTGTTATGGAGAAGCCTAATTGCCAGCCTTCTGCCCCATGACTATGGACCTAGTGTGTATGGCGATTTGACTGTATTTGTGGGATCTGAGCGCTGTTTGGATATATTGAGCGCTCAGATCCAAGCCATCTGGGGATAGGTTGAATGTGGGGGTTCTGTTCAGTTCAATAGGAGTTATGTATTTTTGTGTCTTTTTGTGTCTTTTGCTAACATGTGGTTAATGGAGTCTGCCTCTATCCCTGGATAATTGGATTACTTTCCCCATTGTCCAGGATAGAGGCCTCTGTGGTTTGGGCCAGAAAACCATGCTGCCAGCCAGGCCCCAAAAGACACTTTTGCTAACTTTTGAACCCCTTGTCTGATTTGTGCCATTTTTTAATATGTTGCTCCCCTTAATGGATTGATTCCAAATATGTAATTTTTATGAAGATTGGATGTGTAGTTTGGAAGTTATAGTACATGTATAAAAACTGTATTTTTACTGTTCTGTTTTAATTATGTTATGTGATTATCTGAGGGATGGGAATTTCCCCGAATGTATATTGTTCCGATTGGTTATACTGCTAATTATGTGGGTGTCTCCCTTGCATGGGCAGAATCTCATAAAAGCAGAGTGTGTGCCATTAAACATCAGATCTTCTTGACCCTCAATACGTAGCCTTGTCTCGTTATTGGAGGGAACTGCTATATCACACTGGGGATTGCTATGCTCTGCATACTCCCCTGAGCTTTTAATCACTTAGCTCTTTTAAGAGCTGTTCCTGTTACGCTCTCCTGGAGGAGAGGTCTTCCCCACACGGTCCTGGAGGACAGAAGCTGATCCAGGGTGGAAGGAAGACGGCGAGACTCCAGTTAAGCTACGGCGGTTGTGGAGTCTGCGGTGGTTGTGGTGTCTGCTGCAGTGTTTGGAGTCCTCAGGAAGCGCTAGGAGCATCCATCAACGGAGGGTACTCGGTCGGAGTACAGGGAGCTCCGTTACATTGGTGGCAGCGGTGGGATGGCGTCCTAGTGCGAGGAGAAGCAGCTCGGAGACACTGGTATCGTATGAGAGGTTATTGAGGGCAACGCTAGCCACTGTGCAGCGTCCCTAACTACAGCAGCATGGAGCAGGGATGGATAGAGCCCTGCAAAGAGCACCTCAACATGATACGTCGCTACGAGGACGACGCTTACATTGAGGAGGTAAAGAGGCGGTTGGTCTGCTATGGCCCAGACCTTTCGAACGAGGTGGTCCACCAAGTAATGCGCCAGTTGAGTGCTGAGAACAGTGCGGCAATGGCCTTTGAGCGACAACTGTGGAGGTTGAGGATATGGACACCTAGTCTCCAGCGGCAGTGCAAGTTACAGGGAGCCGAAGGTGTCGTCCTTCCTCCCCAGCGGCAGTGCAAGTTACAGGGAGCCGAAGGTGTCGTCCTTCCTCCCCAGCGGCAGTGCAAGTTACAGGGAGCCGAAGGTGTCGTCCTTCCTCCCCAGCAGCAGTGTGTCCTACAGGGAGCAGAGACAGTTGGTCTCTCTCTCCAGCAGCAGGACAATGTTATGGGAGTGGAGACAGGCGGTCTCCCTCTCCAGCGGCAGCCTGTGTTTCAGGGAGAGGAGCACAGCACCCTATCTCCCCAGCGGCAGCTTACCCTACCAAGGGGAGACACCAATCTCCCAGATGGCGCAGAGGGGACCGTGGTCTCTGTGCCCGACCTACAGGGATGCTGGACAGCCTGTCCAGATCCCCAACTACCCTCACAGGGACAACAGGAGGAGGGGGTAAGTACGAATTCCCCTCCCCAGCTAACTCCTAACTTGGCCCCAGGGTTAACAGAGGAGATGTTAACCCCCACTGACTCCCATGTTCCCCTGGCTACTGAGCCGGACTATGTTCCCAGCACCCCAGCGGAAGAGCTGGCAGCTGGGCAGAGTGCAGTCGGCCTCTGCCCTCCCTTTGTCCCTTGTCCAGAGCCTGATGTCCTGCAGGCTATACCAGCGGAAGAGCTGGCAGCTGGGCAGAGTGCAGTCAGCCTCTGCCCTCCCTTTGTCCCTTGTCCAGAGCCTGATGTCCTACAGGCTATACCAGCGGAAGAGCTGGCAGCTGGGCAGAGTGCAGTCGGCCTCTGCCCTCCCTTTGTCCCTTATCCAGAGCCTGATGTCCTGCAGGCTATACCAGCGGAAGAGCTGGCAGCTGGGCAGAGTGCAGTCAGCCTCTGCCCTCCCTTTGTCCCTTGTCCAGAGCCTGATGTCCTGCAGGCTATACCAGCGGAAGAGCTGGCAGCTGGGCAGAGTGCAGTCGGCCTCTGCCCTCCCTGTGTCCCTTGTACAGAGCATGACATTCTGCCGGCTACCCCAGCGGAAGAGCTGACATCAGGGCAGAGCGCCACTGGCCTCTGCCCTACCGACCCCCTGGTTACAGGACTGGTCTGCAACCCCCTCTCCCCAGCAGAAGTGCAGGCATCAGGGCAGAGCGCCGCTGGCCTCTGCCCCCCAAGTACTACCAGCTATTTGCCCAGCTGCACCAGGAAGGCAGAGGATGCTGCATTTTCATCCTACAACCTGGAACCTACAGGCCAGTACTGTTTATTGTGGGGGGGCTACTTTGCTACTTGTTATTTGTGGGTGGGCTGCAAGACTAACTTAGGCACTGACCGACAGGAGGTCAGGTGTCTGGTTAGTCTCCCTCCAAAAGGGGAGATATGTTACAAACTGCCATTTGTAACTGTTATTTTATTTGACAAATTGCCCTGCTTCCCTGTGTTATGGAGAAGCCTAATTGCCAGCCTTCTGCCCCATGACTATGGACCTAGTGTGTATGGCGATTTGACTGTATTTGTGGGATCTGAGCGCTGTTTGGATATATTGAGCGCTCAGATCCAAGCCATCTGGGGATAGGTTGAATGTGGGGGTTCTGTTCAGTTCAATAGGAGTTATGTATTTTTGTGTCTTTTTGTGTCTTTTGCTAACATGTGGTTAATGGAGTCTGCCTCTATCCCTGGATAATTGGATTACTTTCCCCATTGTCCAGGATAGAGGCCTCTGTAAAACCGGTTTGGGCCAGAAAACCATGCTGCCAGCCAGGCCCCAAAAGACACTTTTGCTAACTTTTGAACCCCTTGTCTGATTTGTGCCATTTTTTAATATGTTGCTCCCCTTAATGGATTGATTCCAAATATGTAATTTTTATGAAGATTGGATGTGTAGTTTGGAAGTTATAGTACATGTATAAAAACTGTATTTTTACTGTTCTGTTTTAATTATGTTATGTGATTATCTGAGGGATGGGAATTTCCCCGAATGTATATTGTTCCGATTGGTTATACTGCTAATTATGTGGGTGTCTCCCTTGCATGGGCAGAATCTCATAAAAACAGAGTGTGTGCCATTAAACATTAGATCTTCTTGACCCTCAATACGTAGCCTTGTCTCGTTATTGGAGGGAACTGCTATATCACACTGGGGATTGCTATGCTCTGCATACTCCCCTGAGCTTTTAATCACTTAGCTCTTTTAAGAGCTGTTCCTGTTATGCTCTCCTGGAGGAGAGGTCTTCCCCACACGGTCCTGGAGGACAGAAGCTGATCCAGGGTGGAAGGAAGACGGCGAGACTCCAGTTAAGCTACGGCGGTTGTGGAGTCTGCGGTGGTTGTGGTGTCTGCTGCAGTGTTTGGAGTCCTCAGGAAGCGCTAGGAGCATCCATCAACGGAGGGTACTCGGTCGGAGTACAGGGAGCTCCGTTACAACGACATTTTAATTCTCGGCCGTAAAAAGATGTAAGCTGGAGATTAGGATTTAAAACATTCTAGTCCTGTGTTTTGAGCACAGCTCCCTCTTGTCAACAAAATACTTTCCATCTATGTTCTTTATCTGTACGAACAAAATGTAGCCGATTTTTAAAATAAATCTAAATTTAAAAAAAATTTTTTTTTCGATATTTTAATAAAAAGACTTGTGGCAGATTTCTAGCTGATAGAACAGGAGGGAATTAATTGTCTATGGAAAGAAGGTCCAAGCAAGACCACCGTGGAATCTAAAGGGACACTATCAGCACCAAATGAAGTGCTTTGCTAAACACACATTTATAAAATATTTTACCAGTATGGATACTTTGAGATTTGTCTTCTTTTCAAGTATGTCCTGTTACCCTGGCAGCCACTAGATGGTGCATTTGTGTGCTGAACAAAGTCAAACTCACATTCCATGACGATGTTGAATATTCAATGCTTCTCTCTGAGATGCGTTTGTTTCATTGCTACACTGAGAAGCATTTCATTCGTGCATTGCAGCGATTGCCACGCGTGGATTTTTCCTATTAAGTTTCTAGGGAATATAGTATTCATTTAAAGATAGTTTTGCACCTTTTACCTCGTGTGACATGGGACACAGTTTTCCATCATTAAAGCAGCATTGAAAGCTTTCTTGTCATCATTGAGATTTCCTATCTATGGGAGAGGTCCATCAAAGTACACTTCTAATCGCATCCAGGGGCCCAGATTGTCAATAAACCCAACCTGGTCTGGATGAGCAATTATGGATAGCTACAGTATCAAATACTTTGCTAGAATCCATGTGAAAATTTTAACATCCATGCTGATCAGTAATATTAGCTGGCACACAATGAGAGATAACCATGATGGTTTTAGCATCTCCAGCTGAAATGTTCCCCCTTTGTAGGCAAATCAGGACTCAGGAGGCAGCGTTAAAGGCCATTTCTGAGAGCATTGCCATTCCTCCACCATTTAAGAACACCCAACAACATCAATTGAGATATCATCTATGAGAGTAACAATAGTGAAGGCGGGTAGGGTCAACTGATGGCCCTCAGCCAATAAGCTAAAGTTAGTTCTTACTTAGGAACATCCGGCTTTTCAGCTTTTGTACTGTTGGTGGAGAACGGCACCTGACAGAACAAGGTAAGAAGTCAAACCTTTTAAAAACAGTTGACTATTTACAAAATGGTGGGGCGGGGGGAGCTAAGCACTACTGGCACCATAACCACCACAGTGGGCTGTAGTAAATATGGCGCATCTTGTGTTTATTTAAACTCTGCACATGTTTCAGAGATTTCCTTCTCAAGCTCTGTACTTATGTTATCCACAGACACTAAGCTTCCCAATTTGGCTGGCAATCACCTCTCCTGTACCACTATGTGTCTCTTCCTATGAGCAGAAATGTCATAATTGAGCCCCTAATAAAAAATTATTAACACCACCAACACAAAATCCAACTATTCTCCTAAACCTAAATTGCAATTGAAAAAAAAAGCCTATTGTGACAGATTCACCTATATTGCTGGTTCATCTGTTTCCCCTTTATTTCGCTGGATTCCCTGTTCGTATGTCCCTGTTCGTGAAATTACAAAATGCCGATTGAAACTACCGAACGAATGACCACCCAGGAGAGGAGTGTGCTGCTGGTTAACCTCTTGGCCCCAATTAGAACGTTGTGGTTAACCGCAGACACCTCTCCATTCCATTCGTACGGGTGGTCGTCGTTCGCATGTCGACCACGAGGCAGCGGACATTTTGGGACATGAGAAAGCGTAGCGGTGTTCGGTACAAATTCTATGGAAGCTGATGCCCCCCCTTCTATTTCGGCGAGGCATACGAACGCCAGTCTGTTCGGGAGTTTTATGCATTCGTATGGACCTTTACCCAGATAGCCGTCCCATGGAGTCATTCGTATACCGAAGGACTGGTGAAAGACTTTGACTCCATGGCGATTCGACTAGATACATTGGATCTGAGCGCTATTCGGTGGAAATATGCACTCAGATCCAGGCTGTCTGGGGATACGTTATACGAACTATATTCATTCGGTATTTTCTAAGTTATGTATTTTAATGTATTTCTATTACTGTATTTTAAAATGGCGATGGTCTCTATCCTAGGAGATAATTAGGTTTCTTCCCAATTATCTCCGAGGTAGAGAAGACGGATTTATGGGTAAGATGGGAAGGGCTTATATTGAAGCCACTGCGATTGGCTACTGTACAATATGTTTTACAGTCTTCCACAAGGTCCCCTCGGGGAGTGTCCACCTTGTGGAGACCTGCATAAATACCGGGCAGGTAGCCCCCATTAAACAGAACCTTATTTGACCCTCAAGACGGAGCTTGGTCTCGTTTGTGGGGGAATTACTACTGGGACAGCGCTTTCGTTATTTTTAGCTGTGGAAGCCGTTGGACTGTTTTGCTGATCGGGAGTTGCCGTGTTCGTGAACTTCGTTCGGGAGTTTGGTGATCGGCTGGATATAAACTGCATTTCTGGAGAAGGGGATTATTCACTAAACGGCGGCTTCATCTACCTGGTGGTGAGTGTCTTAACACCTATAAAATCTTAAGACAGGCTGAGAAAATTTCTGGCATTCTAAAAATGTGGGCTTTAGTGATTACTTTCTGGTTGACACCTCTATAGCTCCTCTTATTTCAATAAGTTCTGGACTCTTTCCCCTAGCTAATGTGTTTGACCGAACACCACTGGGCAGAATCTCAACCCAAAACTCATATCAGGGGGGAAATGCACCTTGGACCTACAGTTTTAAACCACTTCACCTAATTTACTTGTACTCCTGATACTTCCTGCTTCTTGTTTGTCATCTCCCTGTGATGGAGAAGACATGTAGGTAAAATTCAAATTAAGTCCAAGCCTTGAAAGATTAATCAATTTCCAGAACAGTTCTCCCTTCTGATCTAAAGACAATTACTAACAAAGTGACTGGTTGTTGAACCAAGATACCATGTAAGCCGGTCATAACAAGATCAGGGAGCTAAGTAATGTACAATATTCACTCATATTTTATTTTATTTAATATTTTAGCAGATCTGATTCTCATATAATACCCCAAAAATGAATATAGCAAGTAATCTCTATATTTCTTAATATTTTCTTATTTAGTATGTGACGAATGACGAATGGTATGCTGGGGGATTGGTACATTTTCTTCATTGAAAATACTAAATGATCTTAACTAGTTCACTGTAGGAAAAATGCATTATAGAAAGACAGTGTTAAGATGTGGAATGTCAAAAAAACATGTATTTGTATAGTTTAGATAAACTATCCAAAACGGATCAGGCAAAGAACAGCAAATCATTTAACTAAAAAGCATTAAAATATCTAAAAATTGTGACAGTGATCAGAGTGCACCTTTAAACTGTTTCGAAGTAATTTTACATACAAACAGACAAGCCAAATTCAATTGCACATCATGTGATTTTATATTGGCCTCATTTTAATATTGTTGGATACGATTTCTAAATTATTTAATTTTTGGGGATAAACTTTTAAAATGTTTTTTTTCCCAGCATATTAAAATATATAACAATACATCACATTTATATAGTGGCACACTAAGTCAATCCGCTACCTGCAGAGATGCTCCTGTTCAGCTGAACGCTGCTGAAGGAAGTCTCACACCTTGTCAGGCTTTCTACACAATAACTTTGTCTTCGCCCTTGCTAAACAGTCCCATTTTTCTTTTCTCATTAGTTCATGATCTCGCAGTTCTAGGCATCTCTTTAACCCCTTAAAGTAGGGATCGACCGATATTGATTTTTTTAGAGCCAATACCGATACCAATATTCTGTTACCTTTCAGGCCGATAGCCGATATAATTTGCCAATATTCTGTACATTTACAATTTTGGAAAATAAAAACTATTTCTAAAGGTAAATGCACAAAATATACATGCCACGTGTAGTGGATGCAGTGTGTGTAGTGGATGCTGTTTGTGTTTGTGTAGTGTGTGTGTAGTGGATGCAGTGTGTGTTTGTGTAGTGGATGCAGTGTGTATTTGTCTAGTGTGTGTAGTGGATGCAGTGTGTATTAGTGTAGTGTGTATATAATGAAAGCAGAGTGTTTGTGTAGTGTGTGGGTAATGTGCATAAAGTGAATGCAGTGTGTGTGTAAAGTGAATGCTGTAAATACTAAATGCTAAGTGAATGTAGTGTGTTTATATAATGAAGTGTGTGTGTGTTTGTATAGTGTGTGTATATAATGCAGTGTGTTCAGAGAAACTGCTATGTTTACATATGGGTTAATCCAGCCTCTAGTGGCTGTCTCATTGACAGCCGCTAGAGGCGCTTCCGCGCTTCTCACTGTGATTTTCACAGTGAGAAGACACCAGCGTCTATAGGAAAGCATTGACAAGGCTTTTCTATGGACTGACTGAATGCGCGCGCGGCTCTTGCCGCGCATGCGCATTCAGCCAATGACGACCGAAGGAGGAGGAGAGTCCCCAGCACCGAGGAAGGCCGGCGCTGGAAAAAGGTGAGTGTTTAACCCCCTTCCTCCCCCTTCAGCTCGGCGGGAGTGGGACCCTAAGGGTGATAGCCCTACTCTGGGGGAGCAACATATTTAAAAATCATCCCATTCGGTTCAGGGGTTCGGGAGATATGGCACTTTAACGTTTTGACCGACCGCACAGGCACAAGTGCCGAAAACAGTTCCATAACTTTTGGCCTTGCGGTCGGTCCTTATTCGTGGGTAAAAAAGTCCCGAAAGGCTTGTCATCCGTGGTTATCTTGATGTTCGCTAGAATCCCCACGTGTTACTTAGTCTTTCTACCGAACGGCGGTGCGTTCGGTAGTTTTGGCACGGATTTCTGGTAGTCTGGAGGTTTGATGCATATGATGAATGCAGTGTTCATACAGTTTTAGGTGCCACAATTGCACGAATGCTTTAAAAGTCCCGAAAAGCTTTGTAGAAAATCCTCCCGAAAGTAACTAAAAACCTCCAGCTTGTAGACAGCTTGATGTCCTTTACTGAAGAAAACTATATACACTTTTAATCCGAGGTCTCTGTTCCCATATATGTCCCTGGCTAGTTCTTAAAGGGACAGTTATAGGGAACATTCCCAAGCACATGGCAGGGTTTTGTTACAGTTATACGCTTTGCCCATTACACCTGGCAGTCAGTATAGAGAGAGCCACCTCCATTTTAGCTCCCTGTCAATCATTGTTATAAGCTCCGCCCTTTACACCTGGCAGTCAGTATAGAGAGAGCCGCCTCCATCTTAGCTCCCTGTCAGTCATTGTTATAAACTCCGCCCCTTTACACCTGGCAGTCAGTATAGAGAGCCACCTCCATCTTAGCCCCCTGTCAATCATTGTTATAAGCTCCGCCCTTTACACCTGGCAGTCAGTATAGAGAGAGCCGCCTCCATCTTAGCTCCCTGTCAATCATTGTTATAAGCTCCGCCCTTTACACCTGGCAGTCAGTATAGAGAGAGCCGCCTCCCTCTTAGCTCCCTGTCAATCATTGTTATAAGCTCCGCCCATTACACCTGGCAGTCAGTATAGAGAGAGCCGCCTCCATCTTAGCTCCCTGTCAATCATTGTTATAAGCTCCGCCCTTTACACCTGGCAGTCAGTATAGAGAGCCACCTCCATCTTAGCTCCCTGTCAATCATTGTTATAAGCTCCGCCCTTTATACCTGGGAGTCAGTATAGAGAGAGCCACCTCCATCTTAGCTCCCTGTCAGTCATTGTTATAAGCTCCGCCCTTTACACCTGGCACTCAGTATAGAGAGAGCCGCCTCCATCTTAGCTCCCTGTCAATCATTGTTATAAGCTCCGCCCCTTTACACCTGGCAGTCAGTATAGAGAGAGCCGCCTCCATCTTAGCTCCCTGTCAATCATTGTTATAAGCTCCGCCCTTTACACCTGGCAGTCAGTATAGAGAGAGCCGCCTTCATCTTAGCTCCCTGTCAATCATTGTTATAAGCTCCGCCCTTTACACCTGGCAGTCAGTATAGAGAGCGCCACCTCCATCTTAGCTTCCTGTCAATCATTGTTATAAGCTCCGCCCTTTACTCCTGGCAGTCAGTATAGAGAGAGCCGCCTCCATCTTAGCTCCCTGTCAATCATTGTTATAAGCTCCGCCCTTTACACCTGGCAGTCAGTATAGAGAGATCCGTCTCCATCTTAGCTCCCTGTCAGTCATTGTTATAAGCTCTGCCCTTTACACCTGGCAGTCAGTATAGAGAGAGCCACCTCCATCTTAGCTCCCTGTCAATCATTGTTATAAGCTCCGCCCTTTACACCTGGCAGTCAGTATATAGAGAGCCGCCTCCATCTTAGCTCCCTGTCAATCATTGTTATAAGCTCCGCCCTTTACACCTGGCAGTCAGTATAGAGAGAGCCACCTCCATCTTAGCTCCCTGTCAATCATTGTTATAAGCTCCGCCCTTTATACCTGGCAGTCAGTATAGAGAGAGCCACCTCCATCTTAGCTCCCTGTCAATCATTGTTATAAGCTCCGCCCTTTATACCTGGCAGTCAGCATAGAGAGAGCCGCCTCCATCTTAGCTCCCTGTCAATCATTGTTATAAGCTCCGCCCTTTACACCTGGCAGTCAGTATAGAGAGAGCCGCCTCTATCTTAGCTCCCTGTCAATCATTGTTATAAGCTCCACCCATTACACCTGGCAGTCAGTATAGAGAGAGCCACCTCCATCTTAGCTCCCTGTCAATCATTGTTATAAGCTCCGCCCTTTACACCTGGCAGTCAGTATAGAGAGAGCTACCTCCATCTTAGCTCACTGTCAATCATTGTTATAAGCTCCGCCCTTTACACCCGGCAGTCAGTATAGAGAGAGCCGCCTCCATCTTAGCTTCCTGTCAATCATTGTTATAAGCTCCGCCCTTTACACCTGGCAGTCAGTATAGAGAGAGCCGCCTCCATCTTAGCTCCCTGTCAATCATTGTTATAAGCTCCGCCCTTTACACCTGGCAGTCAGAATAGAGAGCCACCTCCATCTTAGCTCCCTGTCAATCATTGTTATAAGCTCTGCCCTTTACACCTGGCAGTCAGTATAGAGAGCATACAGAGAGGAGGAGACATGAAGCCATTTTCAACTTATCCTCTTCACTTGCAATGTGAGCCTTGTCTGAATTGGATTATGCTTTAATTTGGTAAATCTTTAATATAAACAAAAGATACTGGAGCACCTGATGAAATATTTTTGGTGATTTACAGGTTTTCATTCAGTGGTGTAAATCTGAAATAAATGTCAATTCCAAATACAATTACTTCTAAGAACTTATATCCACAGAGATATTGTATTATCTATTATTAAATCCTAGATATATCTTCAGAGATACAGTGTTAAACATTATTAAACAGTGAGTGAATGTCATATCGCGCGGTCCTGTATGATATATAATAATAATATATCACCTCCACAGCTATTGTATTACCCCCAGATAGTATAAAATTCCCGGGAGATATATTATTATGCCCTGATTGTGTATTTCCATCTCGGAGATACTGTAATATATCCACCAGGCTAAGATGCTACATAGCATTAGCCCCGGGGGATATGTATCACCCCAGGTAGGATGTATCCGCCCGTCAGAAATGTTTACCTCATCCGAGTTGGAGAGCCCCAGTTTGCTCATGTCAATAGAAAAATAGTGTTTGTTTGGCAAAATCAGTTCAATTTCTTCAATCTGTAAAGAAAAAAGAGTTTTATCCTTAGCAGCACTGAAATAAAAATTCAGCTATTATGGTGTGAAATGTAATGTTTACTGTGAATTCCCAGAAATAGACACTTTAGTAAATAGTCGAAAGGCATTTAAAGGGACACCGTAGGCACTGTATCTGCTTCATCTCATTAAACTGGTTATAGTGTCTGGAGTCCCCTGGTACCATCATTTCTTTCAGCATTAAAGGACCACTATAGTGCCAGGAAAACATACTCGTTTTCCTGGCACTATAGTGCCCTGAGGGTGCCCCCACCCTCAGGGACCCCCTCCCGCCCGGCTCTGGAAGGGGAAAAGGGGTAAAAACTTACCTTTTTCCAGCGCTGGGCGGAGAGCTTCCTCCTCCCTCTCCCCTGCCCGCCGGGCTGAATGCGCACGCGCGGCAAGAGCTGCGCGCGCATTCAGCCGGGGTCTCATAGGAAAGCATTTACAATGCTTTCCTATGGACGCTGGCGTGCTCTCACTGTGAAAATCACAGTGAGAGCACGCAAGCGCCTCTAGTGGCTGTCAATGAGACAGCCACTAGAGGATTAGGGGGAAGGCTTAACCCATTCATAATTATAGCAGTTTCTCTGAAACTGCTATAATTATGAAAAAATGGGTTAATCCTAGAGGGACCTGGCACCCAGACCACTTCATTAAGCTGAAGTGGTCTGGGTGCCTAGAGTGGTCCTTTAAACAGTTTTTAATGTTGTAATGTTTTAATGCTAAACATGAGACCCCAGCAGTCCATCCCCTCTGTGCTGCTTTGGCTAATAAGGAAGTATTACCCTGAGAGGCAATGGGCAGCTGTGATTGGCTGAGAGTGTCATCTGACTGCTTTTAACCTGTCAGAGCTCCATGAATGGGTATGACAACAAGGAAGTGTGTAATCTCTGCCTTAGCTACACATACAGAAGGGGCCGGACTGTGGGTGGCCAGGGACTCTTATTTTGTGGCATACTGCACAAACATGGTGCAACACTGAATGGAGGGACAGTGCCAGGCCACTCCAGGCACTATAACCAATTCAAAGAGACAAAGTGGTTATAGTGACTACAGTGTCCCTTTAAGGAATAATTACCTCTGGAACCTTTCTTAAACTCAGCGTCTGGATATCAAACAGCGTCTTCTGGACAGACGGTGAATATTCCCCCTTATCAAAGGGCCCGGCGAATGTGTCCAGGATCGTCTCTTTAATAATTTCCCTGCAACAACAGAAACATTGACAGATTTCCCCTACAGACAGAGCACAGCGCGCGACACGGGAGACAGTTATCATTTATACGTTTATATTAATTACCCCAATATAGCTGGATGGCTCTGCCGACTGTTCACTAAAATGTATCTTACATGAAAATGGCCTATTCCTAAACACGGGGTTATTATTAATACATTTTAATGAATATTATATGACACGGGATAATAGAGGGGTCTTACTATCCCTAAACATGGGGTTATTATTACTACAGTTTAATAAATATTATATGACACGGGATAATAGAGGGGTTTAATATTCCTAAACACGGGGTTATTAATACATTTTAATGAATAATATATGATACTGGATAATAGAGGGGTCTTAATATCCCTAAACATGAGGTTATTATTAATACATTTTAATGAATATTATATGACACGGGATAATAGAGGGGTTTAATATTCCTAAACACGGGGTTATTATCAATACATTTTAATATTTAATAAATATTGCACATTATACAACGCTGGACTTTAGGGGATTTAATATTTACACTCACCATACAGAATCGTAATCCGCTACCTTAGTAGTGTTATATTTCCATTTGCAGTTTACGACTGTGGAGAAGCATCGATCTTTCACTTCCTGCAGAGTTGTAAATCTATCTTTAAGAAATCCTTCAAACCCAGACTGGGTGGTTTTAAGGACTCGAAGCTCCTTAATCCCAGAACAAATCACGGGGGGACCTGTACATAGGTTCCAACATTTGAAAAAATACAGATTAAGGAACAGCGCGCACATAAAAATGAAAATTTTACATTTTACAAGGCTACTTAAAACCACCTATCTCAGCAAACAAATATGGAGATTCAGTTCCACCATATGCCGGGCTGGTGCAAGGATTTTTTCCGCAATAGGCAAAATAAAATTTACCGCCCCATTCCTTCCACCCACTCAGAGTTACCTACACTGATCCATACTCACACACACTGACTCATACAGGCACACACACAGAAACATGCAGACACACACTGACCCATACACACAAACACTGATCAATACACACACAGAACTGACCCATAAAGACATACACACACGATCACACTGACCTCCCCACACACACACTGATCCATACACACACACACACACACTGACTCATATAGACACACACACACTGACCCATACACACACTGATCCATACTGTCAGGTTTACTAGTTGATCCAGCACGTAGAATTGTGTCACACCGAGGACTAAGAATGGCCGGACTTAATGTACCAAAGAATAGTCAGGATACTTGCCGAGGTCAGGGGATACAGAAAGAGGCACAACCATAAGGGAAAGCCAGGAGTCAGGGATACCAGAATACAGGGAAGTCAAGACGAAGCCAAAGTCAAAAAACAGAATATAACCATTCAGGAACACACGCTCATACAACCACTAGGGAAACCATGAGAGAGCAAAGAGGAAAAAGCAATTCTGAGCTTAAATACCTGCTTTACTGTTCTGATTGGCCGAGATCGATCTTTGACCCCAAAACTTGTGCACGCGTCTCCTGTGTGACGTCACGTGGACGCCGATGTCGTCAAAACGTGGGTGGACATGGGGGTATAATTTGCCGTGGATCCGCAGTGGCCGGCGTCCGTCAACATGCTGCAAGAGTCAGTTATTTTAGCATGGAAAGAGCGGATCTTGCGGTCAGCATGGATGTCAGAGGCCAGAACCCAGGAGCGGTCTACAGGCCCATAACCCTTCCAATCAACTGTACTGTAAAGCATCCCGAGAAAATCTGGAATCAATTATGGAGGAGACCTCATACTCCTCCTGTCCAGAAACAACCAAAGGAGGAGGGGGAACACTTGGGACAGTATACATATTGCAAACAAGTGGTTTGAGCATAGAGACATGAAATGTATTTGGAATCCGCAAGGAAGCAGGGAGAGCCAAAGAATACGAGACAGGATACGAAACGGGCCAAGGAATCTAGGAGAAAACTTCATGCTAGGAACTTTGTTTGATGTTGTGCAAAGATAACCAAACCCTCTCACCCACTTGGTAAACAGGGTTAGCACCCCGTCTTTTATCAGCATAGCGTTTGAAATGGTCAGCTGCAGTTCCCAGAGTGGAGTGAACTTTGCCCCAAGTATCACGAATGGAAGCAAAGCGGTTATCTAAAGCATGTAAAAAAAAAAACAGCCGTCAGAACAGTAGGATGACGGCTATTATTAATAAAAAACGGGCTATGTCCAGAAGAGTCATGGTCAGCATTGATCCTAGCAAATTCGGCCCATGGTAGTAATTCGGACCAATTATCTTGAGTGCTATTAACGAAACAACGCAAATATACTTCTAATGACTGGTTAGCCCTCTCAGCCGTACCATTGGTTTGGGAGTGATAAGAGGATGAAAAAGACAATTCGATGCCCAATTGTTTATTAAGCCAAATTCTTATGGTCCGTAATGATCAAAAGGGGATCCTTGGACCTTTCCAAAAGATGCCGCCACTCTTTAAGCGCTAGGACAATGGCCAACAATTCTCTGTTGCCAATATCATAATTGCGCTCAGCGGGAGACAGCTTTCTGGAAAAGTAACCACAAGGATGCAAAGGGGTGTCCTGACTCTCCCTTTAAATAAGAACCGCCCCTATCCCAGCTTCGGAGGCATCGACTTCCAATATGAAGGGTTTGCTGGTGTCAGGGTGTCTCAGTATGTCAGCAGAAGCAAACCTTTGTTTAAGAAGTTCAAAAGCTTCTTTAGCTTCCTTAGACCATACGGTACTACTAGCTCCCTTACGTGAAATATACGGTACTACTAGCTCCCTTACGAGAAAGAACCCCTTGATAAATCTTCTGTAATAGTTGGCAAACCAATAAATCTTTGGATGGCTTTTAGTCTGCTAGGTACTGGTTACTGTATAACAGCCTCTAGTTTCTTAGGGTCCATCTGAAAACCAGAGGCAGAAATGTTATACCCCAAAAACTGTACTTCAGTCTGATCAAACAAGCATTTTTCAAGTTTACAATAAAGTTTGTTTTCCAGTAAAGTCTGCAAGACTTGTCTGACCTGTTTGTGGTGAGTTTGAAGGTCAGGGGAATAAATAAGAATATCATCCAAATAAACAATGACAAATGAATAGATATAATCCCTGAGTACATCAATAATAAAATCCTGGAATATGGCCGGAGCATTGCATAGCCCAAAAGGCATAACGAGGTACTCATAGTGCCTGCATCTAGTGTTAAATGCCGTTTTCCACGCATGATTTTCCTTGATTCTTACCAAATTGCAAGCACTCCTGAGATCGTAAAGATCGTAGCACCTTGGAGTTTATCAAACAATTCGGATATGAGGGGAATGGGATAGGCTTTCTTAACAGTAATCTTATTTAATGCTCTGTAGTCAATGCATGGACGTAACTCTCCATCTTTCTTTTCTACAAAAAAGAAGCCTGCACCAGCAGGTGAGGATGATTTCCGTTTATGGCCCTTGTTTAGTGAGTCTTTGATATATTCTATCATTATTTTACTCTCCAGTGGCATATACTGCTTCTTTAGGTGGCATAGCGCCGGGTAACAGATTTATGGAGCAGTGATATGACCTGTGAGGAGGTAAGATATTGGACTGACTCTTACTAAATACTTCCTTAGCCTCCCGGTATTGTATGGAAACTTTGGGGGTTTGAGGCGTAGTAGTGGGTAATTTAATGGTGCCCAGTCTCTTGGTGATGTGTAACATACACTTCACAATACAATCCTTGCCCCATTTCAATATTTCTCTATTAGCCCAGTCGATATGAGGATTGTGCGTACTAAGCCAAGGATAGCCTAATATGATAGGGCAAGAAGGAGAAGCAATAATTTGGAATGTTATGTCTTCCCTATGTAAGGCACCAATAGACATGTTATAGGGCAAGGTTTTGTGGGTGATTAAGGGTTGAGAGAGTGGTCTCCCATCAAAAGCTTCAACAGCCAGAGGTGATAGTCTCGCCTTGATAGGTATAGCATTACTTTTAACAAACTGAACATCAATAAAATTTCTTGCTGCACCTAAGTCCATCAGGGCCTTGCATGAAAAGTTATTTTTGTCAAATATGATCGTAATAACAAGAAGAAACCTATTTTTGTTATTCCCATTACACCTTAGACCTGTCCTCTTAAGGTTCTTAGGTGCGGTAGTTTTCCGGACATATGGGACAAACACTCCTCATATGTCCTCTTTTACCGCAGTATAGACATAGGCCTTCTTTTCTCCTATATTGTCTTTCTGCCTCCGACAGTCTAGTGACCCCCAAACTGCATGGGTTCGGGTTTGGACTGTACAGGAAGGTCAGGGACAATAGGTCTAAGAAATTGGAGTGCTAAAGCTGTCTACGTCGGAAGCCAAGGTGCGAAATTCTATGGCATATTCCGAGATAGACCGGTTCCCTTGTCTGATATGCATTAGGGCAGTGGTGGTGTCTTCCTCCCTGCCTAATGGTTAAAACATTAGTTTAAATTTCACAAGGAATTCCTGGTAATTGTACGCAATGCTCCTATTACTCTCCCATAACGGATTGGCCCAAACTAAAGCTTTACCTTTAAGTTGGTTCAACAGGTAACCAATTTCAGCTCTGTCAGTGGGAAAAGAGCCCGGTGAGACCTCAAAATGATACTCAATTTGGTTCAAGAATCCCTGGAATTATTGACTATTACCATCAAAATGCAGGGGATGAGATAGGAAGATAGTAAGTGCCTTATGTACTATAGGAGGTACACTAGGCGAAGGTGACACAGTTGGAGAAGCCGCAGATTGCAGATGCGCTGTTCGAGTAAGGAGCGTACTGAAGGCGTGGGCAAACTGATCCATACAGTGATCATTCTCCACTAGCTTTCTCTTGCAAGCAGCTATGTGCTGACACAATTCTACGGGATCTATGGCCATGTCGTAATGTCAGGATTAGTAGTTGATCCAGCATGCAGAATTGTGTCACACTGAGGACTAATCGGTAACGTATTACCGGCCTTAGAATGGCCGGACTTAATGTACCAAAGAATAGTCAGGATTCTTGCCGAGGTCAGGGGATACAGAAAGAGACACAATGATTAGGGAAAGCCAGAAGTCAGGGATACCCGAATACAGGAAAGTCAAAACGAAGCCAAAGTCAAAAAACAGAATATAACTGTTCAGGAACACACTCTTGGACAATCACTAGGGAAACCACGACAGGGCAAAGAGGAAACGCAATTCTGAGCTTAAAATACCTGCTTTACCATCCTAACTGGCCGAGATCGATCTTTGACCCCAAAACGTGCTCGCGCGTCTCCCGCGTGACGTCACGCGTACGCTGACATCGTCAATAACGTGGGCGGATGTGGGGGTATAATTTGCCGTGGATCCGCAGCGGCTGGCGTCTGTCAACATGCTGCCAGAGTCAGTTATACAGATGCATGGTCGCTGGGCGCAGATACCGCAAGGTGAGGAGGAATATGTTACACATACACACACGCTGACCCATACATACACACGCTGACCCTTACACATACACTCAGACTCATACACACACATACCCATACATACAAACGCACATACACATACACAGACAGACCCATACACACACACACACACACAGAGCCATACACAAACACACAGAGCCATGCAGACTGATGCACATTCTCTGAAACACACACTGCGAGTCCTCTAGTACTTTCATTGTACTTTTCTCTCCGTTCCTGTATTCTTTACTGCACACGGCGGCCGACATTTTTCCAGCCCCATTTCCTGTTATTTCCCCCTCCCCCCCCACATACAGGGCAAGGGGCTGGTAAGCGAATGATGCGCCCTTCGACATTCTACTGGGCGCTAGTCTTCAAGTAAGTGCTCCCTAGTGCCCAGTAACGTGGCCGGTGGCAGCCGCAGCCGGCTCTTTATGATCAATGCAACTTGATAGTCTGCCTACAGGACGCAGTGGCCCTTACCATATGGCCATATTGTGTTAAGCAATTTTCATTTTATCACCCACGTTGGAATCAGTGTAGGACCCACCGATATTGGGATACTATGACATAGCGGTGGGCTTAACACCACTAGTAGAGGTGGGCTCTATAAAAATTATAATAAAAGTGACACTATTTTATTATATTTTTTTATTAATTTATAGAGGTTTTAGATAGTAATATCACTTTAATTATAATTTTAATCGAGCAGATACATAATATGTATTGTGAGCATATACAGCTAAAGCACTATCACTTTAATTAGTTCTGACACTATTTTTATTGCTTTTATCACATTAATTTTGCTTTATATACCTATTCAAAATGCTCTTACAGCAGATTACTAAAATACACTTTAGTTATTTAGCGCCAGCACTATTTAATTTGTGTCCCACGTTTAAATTAGTGTAGGACCCACCGATATTGGGGTACTGTGAAGTAGTGGTGGATTTACATAAATGAGAAAAGGAAAGTAAAACAAGGATTAGTTAGATTAAAACCAAAAGAAGGAAGGAATGTAGAAGAGGATAAAGACTGATTAGACCACGTGTTTGACTGAGCAGATCGTGAGCTCTCCGAGCTCTGAGACCAAAATAAATAGCGTTCATTATAGCCTTTACTGACTAAAACTTCCAAAGTCTTTCATATTATAGCACTGCAACAATAATTAGTGCAGAACGTGATGGCACCAGCTAAACAAACTAAATTGATGGACTCCCTCCGACCCTCGATGAGAGAGCGCCATAAGCAGCCTCTAGAAGGTGGTGACCTCTCAGATGAGGAGACCACCGAAGTGGGTACTCTGATAATTGGTGACACAGAATTCCTGCATACTAAGAGTCACATTACAGAAAAATTTCAAACACATTTCCTCTGACTTAACCAAAGACGTCTCTGAATTAGGAAACAGGACCAGCCAGTTGGAAGACAGCACTGAGGATCTATGTGCAGCCCATAGTGAGGATCTCTGGACAGCCCAAAGTGAGGATCTCTGGACAGCCCATAGTGAGGATCTCTGGACAGCTCAAAGTGAGAATCTCTGGACAGCCCATAGTGAGGATCTCTGGACAGCCCATAGTGAGGATCTCTGGACAGCCCGTAGTGAGGATCTCTGGACAGCCCATAGTGAGGATCTCTGGACAGCCCATAGTGAGGATCTCTGGACAGCCCATAGTGAGGATCTCTGGACAGCCCATAGCGAGGATCTCTGGACAGCTCAAAGTGAGAATCTCTGGACAGCCCATAGTGAGGATCTCTGGACAGCCCGTAGTGAGGATCTCTGGACAGCCCGTAGTGAGAATCTCTGGACAGCCCATAGTGAGGATCTCTGGACAGCCCATAGTGAGGATCTCTGGACAGCCCAAAGTGAGAATCTCTGGACAGCCCATAGTGAGGATCTCTGGACAGCCCATAGTGAGGATCTCTGGACAGCCCATAGCGAGGATCTCTGGACAGCTCAAAGTGAGAATCTCTGGACAGCCCATAGTGAGGATCTCTGGACAGGCCATAGTGAGGATCTCTGGACAGCCCGTAGTGAGAATCTCTGGACAGCCCATAGTGAGGATCTCTGGACAGCCCATAGTGAGGATCTCTGGACAGCCCGTAGTGAGGTACTAAGCAAGATCCAACAACTAACGGTGGAAAACCTTGGGAAAAAGAGGAAAGAGGTGAAAAAAAAAAAGGATAAGGGGGAAAACAAGGAAAGGGAAAAGGAGAAAGATGTTAGAGAAAAAGGGAAAAAAGAAGAGAGAGAGCAAGGGATGGAGGTACAAAGGAAAATGCACCCTACTGTGGGAAAAAAGGCAAAGCAAAAGGAAACAGAAGGTAAGAAAAGAGAGTCAGCAATTACTGCATGTGTCAACTCTACTTAGTGATTACATAAAATGGGGTGTTCTTTTCTTTTCTTAGTTTTTTCCTCTCCCTCTTTCTGTTTTGTTTCGATTTGATCTGATTTAATAGTTTTTTTATTTATTTGATTCGATTTGTTGAGCAATATGAGTATAACATGCAAAGTACTTGCCATTTACTCTTAACCTAACCCTCAACCTCTTTAGTTCTCTACCTGCTGTGAGTTCTATATTTTTATCTTTTGCTGTTTTTTGTTTTTTAAAGCTTATATTATTGTTAAAGGTTGAAAGCATTACGAAAATAAGAAAGAAAAAAGGTTAATTAGAAGGATGGATAATACATCCTATTACATATTTTTGATTTCACAATAACTTTAACTGGTTTATGATATACGAACCATTATAATGTTGGTAATTTTCAGTTTAAGAAAATTTATTTTATTTATTCATTTATTTATTTTTTGGGGCTCTGAATGGGGGCATTAAGTTTTGATACAACTAGGATCAATAACAAAAAGACGCAACGCAGAGGCCCAGACACGACTCCTCCAAGACTCATCCAAATTAGATGACCAAAATAAACGACGACCATCGAAAAATATCTCCAAACAAATAGCCGCCATTAATAATGAACTCAACTCGTTGTCTCTTATAACCACAGAACGATATGAGATCTCTTAAGCAGATACACTATGCAATGGGTAATAAAGCAGGGAAACTACTAGCCAAAAAACTAAAATCTAAATATCTCCAGACCAAAATACCCTATATTCAATTGTAACGGACCGTTTTGCACACAAGAGGTTAAAACCCGTTTAGGCGATATTCCCCTTTCCAGATGCACAGGCAGCTACTGCAAGCACCAATCTCCTGAACTGCAAACTACACGAATTCACCAACTCCCGAACTGGAAACACACGAATACTGGAAACAGCCGAACAGGAAAAGCATACCCTCAGCTTACACTCCTGGCAATCAGCATACAATCCAATGACCCCCCAAGAACGAGACGACACTTTGTTTTGAGGGTCAAGCAGAATCTGATTTACTGGGGCTACCTGCCCGGCTTTTATGCAGGTCTCCCACCTGGTGGACACTCCTCTAGGGGACCAGATGGGAGACTGGGACACAAAGGGTAAAAGGACCAATCACAGACTTACACATTTCAACAATCCCACAATGCATCACAATCCCTCCTCTCTGGCCCGGAGATAACTGGGAAGTAATCCAATTATCTCAAAACTCCATTACACACATTTTAGTAAAAAGACATAAAATTACATACGGCTACCTTTATCACATAAAACACACACATTCTACATATCCCCAGATAGCTTAGATCTGAGCGCACCTTATTACCGAATGGCGCATACATACAGTTCAATCGCCATGGAGCCAAAGTCTTTCCCATAGTCTTTCGTTACACGAATAGACTCCATAGCATGGCTATCTGGGGTTATGCTGTTCATACGGTTAAACTACCGAATGAACAGTCATTCGGTTCCACTACCGAATGCAGAGGTAAGGAGGCTGGCAGCTCAGCGGTGTTCACGCAAATAAATGTCCATTTTCAGTTCCATAGTTTGGGCGCTGAACACCGCTGGACGTTCGGGAGTTAAAATGGCCGCTGCCACGTGTTCGGCAAACAAAGTCCACCCAGCATTCGTCAATTAAGCTGCGGTTAACTGCAGCTTCTTGGTGGTCAATTGACGGCACACTCCAGTTCCCAGGTGGTTGATTGAATCTACCGAACACCCCGGCAGAAAGGCACGAATACGCCTTTCTGCAGGGAAAATAAAAGGTTTTAAATGCTGGGCCATAGTCTAAAGGGAGCAGGCGAGCAACCAGGCTCCTCCAGTGGAGAGCGGCGTGGCTGGTTCCACCACATCAATCTATAACCGGGGATAAACTGTTCAACCCCTATCACATAGTAAAAGAGTTGGCACAATTTTATAAACACCTATATAATTTAAAGGATGATCATGAATACACCAAACAAACTTGAAATAGAAAATTTCATGAATGACGTGCATCTTCCATCACTCACTGCCCAACAAGCTCAATCCTTAGATGCCCCACTCGAGGAAGATGAAATTAGATCTGCAATCCACACAATTCCAAAGCATAAGGCACCAGGGCCAGATGGCCAGTCTAACTATTATTATATTAAGTTCCTAAACATACTAACTCCACATCTCACAAGACTTTTTAATGACATTATGCTGCGGGGCACTATACCTCCAGAGATGTTAGAGGCACAAATAGTAACTTTACCAAAACCAAACAAGCCCCCTACCTTATGCGCCAATCTACGCCCTATATCGCTGCTCAATGCAGACCTTAAGCTAAACGCCAAAAACCTTGCATCCCGAATCAAACCATTACTCCCGCAGCTAGTCTCGGCTGAACAAGCAGGGTTTGTCACAAACCGGTAGGTGGGGGACAATACCCGATTGGCATTGGACCTCATAGATTTGGCAAACAATAGCTCTCAGTTAGGCATTCTTTTGGCTTTGGACGCGGAGAAAGCCTTTAACCGTTTAAACTTGTCCTATATGGATGCTACGCTCTCCAGGTTGGGCTTCTCAAAGGCTTTTGTCCGGAGCATTAAGGTACTCTATTCCAAACCCACGGCAAAGGTCTTTAATACTGGTTTCCTGTCATCTGCATTCCATATCTCCAATGGTACGCGGCAAGGTTGCCCTCTCTCACCTCTTATATTTATTCTTTGCTTAGAACCTCTAATCTGTAGCATTAAATCCACTACAGCAATTAAAGGCCTGTTGACCCCAGCTGGGGGAAAAAACTAGCGGTATTTGCAGATGACATTTTGATATTGTTGTGCGAACCGCTTAACTCCTTACCACCATTAAAGCACCAGCTTTCCCTATACGGTCAAATTTCATATTATGAAAAAAAATAAGTCCAAAACACAGGCATTACCCATCAATTTACCTAAACAACTTAAGAAAATCTTACAAACCAAGTACAATTTTGATTGGCGAGTTAAATATTTGACATATTTGGGTATAAAACATACGAATAAGCTCCACCATACAATCAGGGAAAACCACATTCCCCTCCTAGCTAAATTGGAGAATCAAATAGAGAAATGGGGAGCTCTGGAGGTTTCGTGGCTGGGCAGAATAAATTATATCAAGATGATGGTCGACCCTCACATCCTATACCTTTTCAGGACAATCCAATTACCCCTACCTAGGTATATCTCAAGACTTATGCATAAGATTATAAACTCATGTCTGGAAAAAAAAAAACCCAAGGGTTGCGCAACATATGTCATGGCTTCCGCTTAATGCAGGAGGCCTGGGAATCCCCTGTGTCCACAACTATTACAGAGCTTTGGTATTGTCACAGAGTGTTGACCTGTTAGCAAAACATACAAATCCTGTGTGGCTCCAACTAGAGAATGCATGCATTTCACCTTCTACTTTAGAGAGTCTGCTATGGACCAACCTTGATCCTACCCCCCACGTAGGGCTATCCAACACAAAGTTCCTACTTACGGCGTGGAAATAATGGAGCAATAAGCTTATTGACTCAGAAACGTTAATAAAGTGTGCCCCAATTCAGGCCCGTCAGGCATCATCACCTGACCTACCAGTGGGATCTTGGAGGGGAGGGGAGGCATAGCAAAAGTCTCTGATTTGTACGACTTACGAGGAATTAAACAATTTCCGGATTTGCAAAATGAATATTCATTAGCCCATCGGGAACTATTTACATACATTCAAAAGTACTCTCCTCTCCCGACAAATGGAACCCCAGGCACAATCAGCCCCTCATAGGTTGTTTAATCTCCTTACAAAGGGAGCAACAAATTTAAAATCCCTGTCCTTATGTTATTTGGCTCTTGGTGAACCAGAGGAAGAAAAGCTACCCTATATGCACAGCTGGGAAAAAGAACTTGGTAAGACGTTCCAACTCTCACAATGGCAGGAGGCTATCAGATGCACTAAGGCAGCCTCTAAAAGCATATCTATGTGCGAAGCTCATGCAAAATTACAGATGAGGTGGTATTTGGTGCCCCTCAGACTCTCTCAAATCTATAAGGATGCAAATCCTACCTGATGTCAAACCACCATAGGCTCTCTTAGCCATGTATTCTGGGAATGCTTAAAGTTAAAGCAATTCTGGAAGTCAATAACAGCGTTAGTAGACACTATAGCCGGACTCAGGCTCCCCAGATTGCCCCAATATTACATGCTCCACATGATCCCTAACCTTGTAACCATGCCAAACAGAACAATTATTTTAAATCTCCTAGTAGCGGCAAAACTTTGCGTTGCTCATCATTGGAAAAGCACCATAACCCCACCAATAATGGAAACGATCCAAAGAGTGGATTCCATATGCTCATATGAAAAAATGTCCATAACACTGCAGGGTAAATCTTCCCATTATCAACGAATGTGGGGAGCTTGGGATGGGATAAGGGATCAATTCCTCCTAGACAGTCAGGGAAAGCTAGGAGACTCTGAGTCAGGCGTATCACTTTTAACCTATTTATGAGAGGCACTGCGCTAATTTACTAGCTTCCTAGGCACTGTTTACCAACCAAGGTGGTGAATGAACAACTAGGCGCATTGTACTCGCTACTGACCAACCCAGGGCTGAGGATGGATAGATAGTGGGACAGGGGGATCTGATCTGACCTGGGGCAGTCATCTTAGTCATGTTAGTTAAAGGTATACATGAGGTAAAACTAGCTCAGGATTTCAAGTGTGTCTATGGAGTGAAACTAACCCTCCCTCTAACTTTCCCCCCTCCTTTTTCTCTCTTTTTCTTTTTCCTACCAATCCCTCTTCATCTTAGCAGTCAAACAACCAAGGGTACTGATGACGACAAAGCTTCTCACGGTACAACCTTTGCTGCTGAAGTATTAATTGATGCTAAACCCATAATTAGCTCTACCTGATGTGCCTTTTACATGTATAATGATCAGGCAATATAACGTATTTCTGTGCAAGTGATTCATAACTACAATTTGCACTACGTCATATCATGCACCCTTGATATACCTGTACCATGTTAAAATTTGAGCATGCTGGCACCAGGGTGTTCGATGCCTGGCACATGAGATGCTTACTAATAGGCCCTTTGCCTTTTTATAACCGCTATGTTTAATTTACCCACCCAGGGATGGAGTTGGACGGAGGGAGCACAGGAAAATCTGGCCCGAGGCAGCCATTTTAGTCCTTTTAATTAGGCTAGTTAAAGATATGCAAGACACAAAATAAGTTCACAGTTTCAAGTGAGTCACTGGAGTGAGACCCACCCCCTCCCCCCTTACATAACCCTTTTGTTTCTATGTAACCTTTCTATCTTATCGGTTAACCAGAGTTGAGGTACAAATTACGCCTCCTTAGGAGAAGGATGAAAGCAGGGGTGAGCAGGCCTCTTATGGCACAAATCCTAAAATTGTAGTATTAAATGGAGCTACACCTAAAACGCAGCTTTACCTGATATACCTACTACACGCACAATGACCACATACTGTAAAGTAATAACACATAAGCTAAATACGCAACGTGTACTAAAAATTGTACCCTGCTATAACCTGCAATCATTGTTGTACCTTTTCCATGTAAAATATTGTACTTGCTGGTACTAAATGTGTACGATGTCTAGCACATGTGATTCTTACTAACATGTACCTTGCTTTTCTGTAACCGTTATGCTTATTTTAACAAAGAATTAAATAAAAAAAATTATAAATTGAAAAAAAAAAGAAGATGATAAAGGTCTAGCTGACTGCCTCAATTAATATTTTTGTTCAGTATTTACAGATGAAAATGAAGGAAAGGGGCCTCAGTTAGGAAAAATGACAAATGAGTAATTTGTTACATGTGAGTTTACAGAGGAAGAGGTTCTATTTCGACTGTCAAAAGTAAAGACAAATAAGTCAATGGGACCTGATGGAATACACCCAAAGCTATTAAAAGAGCTTAGTGGTGTACTAGCAAAACCATTAACAGATTTATTTGTTAATAAATTTAGTTACACTTAGCACAGCATTCTGCACTTTATTCCGGTAAGGAGAAGGTGTCACCCCAATTTTGACACAAAGCCTGCATACTTAGAGCCAGTGACCAAAAGGCTCTATAAAAGGTGAGCACCCCTCTTTTTCTTAAATATATATTATTGGAAGAAGATTCCTTGAAAATACTACACCAGAGTTTTGTTTCTTCTCTTTTCTTATGTCCACATTGGGGAGAAGAATATAAGCAAAAGGGGTCCAGCTGTCTACCTTAAAGAAAAGGAAACTTGGAAGTTTAGAGCCTTATAAATGTAAAAGGCTCTATAGAATGTGAGTAAATTTCAACTCACTGAAACTATTGTACACTGTGTATATATAATATTGCACGATTATTCTTTGTGTTTCTCATTTTTTACATGTACACCCCCTAACAAGTTGACCAAAAGGGGGTGAGTTATATATACACAATCAATATATTCACTTTACATAGATTTACATAGCGCTGCACTCTAACTAGAGGCTTGGGAGGTAGAAATACCAACCAAACCTCAAGTTATTTGTTTTTTCTCTGGTGTTTATTGTCTTATGGTGGAGTATTGGGAGTACCCACAGAGTGTTTCAGCAGCTAAAGGATTGTCACCATATATAAATTATCAAAGAAGCGCCAACCATTACCACACCTATCTGTGTTCACATTAACTAAAATTACAGATCAGGGTGGTGCAGTAGACATTGCTTACCTAGATTTCAGTAAGGCTTTTGACAATGTTGCACATGGAAGGCTTATCAATAAACTGCAATCTTTAAGTTTGGATTCCAATATTGTTGAATGGGTAAGGCAGTGGCTGAGTGACAGGCAACAGAGGGTTGTAGTCAATAAAATATATTCGAAGCTTGGACCCATTCTCTTTATTATTTTTATTAGTGATATTGCAGAAGGTCTTGATGGTAAGGTATGTCTTTTTGCTGATGATACTAAGATATGTAACAGGGTTGATGTTCCAGGAGGGATAAGCCAAATGGCAAATTATTTAAACTAGAAAAATGGTCAGAATTGTGGCAACTGACATTTAATGTGGATAAGTGCAAGATAATGCATCTTGGACGTAAAAACCCAAGGGCAGAATACAGAATATTTGATAGAGTCCTAACCTCAACATATGAGGAAAGGGATTTAGGGGTGATTATTTCTGATGACGTAAAGGTAGGCAGACAATGTAATAGAGCAGCAGGAAATGCTAGCAGAATGCTTGGTTGTATAGGTATTAGCAGTAGAAAGAGGGAAGTGCTCATGCCATTGTACAGAACACTGGTGAGACCTCACTTGGAGTATTGTACTCAGTACTGGAGACCGTATCTTCAGAAGGATATTGATACCTTAGAGAGAGTTCAGAGAAGGGCTACTAAACTGGTTCATGGATTGGAGGATAAAACTTACCAGGAAAGGTTAAAGGATCTTAACATGTATAGCTTGGAGGAAAGACGAGACGGGGGGGATATGATAGAAACATTTAAATATATAAAGGGAATCAACACAGTAAAGGAGGAGACTATATTTAAAAGAAGAAAAACTACCACAACAAGAGGACATAGTCTTAAATTAGAGGGACAAAGGTTCAAAAAATAATATCAGGAAGTATTACTTTACTGAGAGGGTAGTGGATGCATGGAATAGCCTTCCAGCTGAAGTGGTATAGGTTAACACAGTAAAGGAGGAGACTATATTTAAAAGAATAAAAATAGATTTTATTTGTTTCCAGTTCAGACATTTTGGCCTCATATTTGAAATGTACTTTGAATCCCCAGCAGTTCTCAATGTAATAAATAATCCTGGTAGTGATTATATGAGGTATAATGGCATATAATGAGATTTTCTGATATTTGATGTACCTTCTCGTTTTTGCTCCACGTCACATGTATGGACTCCCTCTGGTGAATAGATAAAGGCATGGACATGTGTCTCCCCATTCTACGACAAACAGAAATATATTCTACATTAACAAGCACGTTAACGTGAAACTGGACGGAGGTCAAATATAAAGTGGGTGTTTACCTTTTCTATTCGCCTCCATGGGGCTTGCTGGATGTTAACCTGTACTTCGCTAACATGATTAAACGATGAAAGAAAATGTTTACAGATCTCCAAAGAAAATTCTTCAATAGTTTTAATCTAGGAAAGAAATCAATAAACACGATCAGGACAAATAATCACATTACAACTGGTGAGGCAAGCCTGGCTTATGATGCTGTGATGGTTATGGACCCTGACTCATATACTGATCCTCATTGGCATAGTGGTTCTGGACCCTTCATTGGTGTGATGGTTTTGGGCTCTTGATAGGTGTGGTGATTCCTGGACCCTGACTGGTGAAACAAGTTCCTGACTAGTGTGCTAGTTCCCCTAAGGGTCACGAACCTTGACCTGTAATGAACTAGATATTGACTGCAAAACGGGGAAGCATATTCAAACTGTGACAGATCAGGGCAAACTATAGCTGATTCATGCAATATGTCCTTTTCAGTTATATGTAACATTTGTTAATTTGTCATTTTCCTATTATATGCCCTGTACCAAAAATATGGACTATTCAAACTATGGTTTCTGTACCCTATTAAGTACATAGAAATGGTTAATTATAAACCAAATAATTAATTAGGTCAAAATAGCATGTTTTTGCCAGTCAGCTGTTATTTTGACTTGCAAAATATTTTACCTATCTCAGCGAAAGACTTGCAAATTCCTGGTTAACAGCTGACAAACCTTGGTTTAGAAAATAACCCACAGAACGTGTTAGGGACAATTCATGCTGGAACACGGTCTGATAGAAGGAACAACACTATAAGTGTAGGGATGATCAGGACTCACTCTTTGCCACATAACTTCACCACATATGACCGATCTGAACTTTCACTCGGCATCCAACTTCCATTCATCCTGTGGACCATGCCTCGATTGATACTGCAAGTGTAGGCAACCTTTGGCACTCCAGATGTGATCGACTACACCTACTATAATGCTCTCACAGCCATAATGTTGGCAAAGCATCAAGGGGAATGTAGTCCACAACATCAGGAGTGCCAATGGTTGCCTACCACACATTCTACTGAGTTGCGAGCAGAGGATTGCTAAACATTCCACAGTAAAGTAATATTGCGCTATACCAGTCTTACCCCTTTAAGCTTTGCCAGAGCGTAAACTGTATTCTTTATGGTATCTGTGGGGATAATATCAGAATTATCTCCCTCCAAATAATCCTTCTTGGACTTTAAGGAAAGTTGAACCGAGGCATCGATTTCTTTGATAAAATGCTGTTTTCCGTTCCTCTTAATTTGGAGAACTTTTACCTCATTTTTTCCATAACCTGTCCTCACGAAGCTTACATCCAGATCCTACAATAATTACAGAACAAAACACACTTATCAGACACTATATCCCAAAATATAATTACAGATCTTTATTTCAGCCAATATAAGACTGGATGAGGACAGCTGTGAGATGGGGCAAACATCAAACTAATAAAAAAATGTAACAAATAAATCGAAAACACATATCTTACATGTTCAATAAAACAGAATAAATTCTAAACAAAGAGAAGAGGCGTTTTGTACAAACATAACTATGTTTTGGTATTGTAAAGTGTACAACAATAATTTCTTCCAAAATGGGAAGGGGGATATTTCTATTTACCATGAAAAGCTAGCAAATCCAGAATGAACACTCAGTTCTTGGTATAGCAGGCTTTGGGTTAACACTCACATTAGAAAGGTACAGCTATCTGACAGAGCTATAACCAGGTCTTGGTATAGTAGGCATTGGGTGTAGAATCAGCACTGACTCAGGATAGAGCTGTAAGCATCTGTCAGATACAGCAGGCTTTGTATATAGAATCAGCACTCATTCAGGATTAGAGGAATAGAGCAATAACCAGCTCTCGTTATTGAAGGCTATGGATCTATAATCCGCACTCATTCAGGATAGAGCTATAAACAGCTCTCTGTATAGAAGGCCATTGACCTAGAATCAGCATTTACTCAAGATAGAGCTATAACCAGCTCTCAGTATAGAAGATTATGGGCCTAGAATCAGCACTCACAGGGGATAGAGCAATAACTAGCTAGCAATAACTAGGCCATGGACCTAGAATCAGCAATCACTCAGGATAGAACCAGTATAGAAGGTTATGGGTCTAGAATCAGCACTCACTCGGCATAGAGCTATAACCAGCTCTCTGTATAGAACGCCATTGACTTAGAATCAGCATTTACTCAGGATAGAGCTAAAATCAGCTCTATGCATAGAAAGCCATTGATCTAGAATCAGTACCTACTCAGGATACAGCTATAACCAGCTCACTGCATAGAAGGTTATGGACCTATAATCAGCACTCACTCAGGATTTAGCTATAACTAGCTCTTTGTATAGAAGGCCATTGACCTAGAATTAGCACTCACTCAGGATAGAGCTATAACCAGCTCTCTGTATATGGAACTAGAATTAGACTCAGCACTCACCTCAGGGTAGAGCTATAACTCACTAATCTAGGAGCTGATCATTCCCTGTTGATGGTGTATTCAGAGGCCTTAAATTCATCAAAATGGACATTCATTTAAAATCCTGTCAAACAGCTAGTCCCGAGAGTGTAATGTTTTTATAAGAATTATTTTTGTAACCAGGCTGTTAGAGTGAGGGTGTACTTGGGGGCCACAGGTTTATAGTGTAGAGACCATTCTGTGTGTAGCTGATCTAATTCCTCCTTCTATGAATAACTGATCTCATTCTGTGAGTAACTGATCTCATTCTGTGTGTAACTGAGAGTAACTGATCCTATTCTGTGAGTAACTGATCATATTCTATGAGTAACTGATCTCATTCTGTGAGTAACTGATCACATTCTATGAGTAACTGATCTCATTATGTGAGTAACTGAGGGTGACTAATCTCATTCTGTGAGTAACTGATCTAATTCCTCATTCTGTGAGTAACTAATCTCATTTTGTGAGTAACTGATGTCATACTGTAAGTAACTGTGAGTAACTGAGAGTAACTGATCTAATTCTGTGAGTAACTGATCTCATACTGTGAGTAACTGATCTAATTCTGTGCGTAACTGATCTCATACTGTGAGTAACTGATCTAATTCCTCATTCTGTGAGTAACTAATCTCATACTGTGAGTAACTGAGAGTGACTAATCTCATTCTGTGAGTAACTGATCTCATACTGTGAGTAACAGAGTAACTGATCTCATTCTGTGAGTAACTGATCTCTTACTGTGAGTAACTGATCTCATTCTGTGCGTTACTGATCTCATACTGTGAGTAACTGTGAGTAACTGAGAGTAACTGATCTCATTCTGTGAGTAACTGATCTCATACTGTGAGTAACTGAGAGTGACTAATCTCATTCTGTGAGTAACTGAGAGTAACTGATCTCATTTGTAAGTAATTGATCTCATACTGTGAGTAACTGAGAGTAACTGATTGCATTCTGTGAGTAACTGATCTCATACTGTAAGTAACCAATCTAATACCTCTTTCTGTGAGTAACTGACCTCATTCTTCATTCCATGAGAAAGTGATAACATTTAATTCACACAAACAAAAAGCTTTATAAATGTGTCAGTGATTGTTTATGCCAGAGTTCCATTTCCAGTGAGTGAACAAACTTGGCAGAGATGGAAGAAGTTCATGTGTGATTCTCTGGAAATGAATGAATCAATAATTAATTTGATGCCATCGCTGTGCCAAGATCGTGTTTGAGTCTGGTTAAATAATTTCTTAATGAAGGTTAATGACGACTTCAAGCCATGCTTCAGGACACATACACATTGTGACATCATGACTACTTATTTATCTCGGCACCTTGTACATTTTCTGTGGCAGACCTAGCCACTTGGGACTGTAAAACACTTTATTTCTGTGAACTGTGTTAGGGACTTTAAAATGACCGTATCCCCTATTGTTCGTCTATGGGGATACAGCAGCCGTTTCCCGAAGAGTAATGTGCAACACTGTACCTAACTATCAAATTGGAGACCACCCCGGTGAGGTCGTGTGTCTCTCATTAACCCAGTTGCAACATTGTTGCAAGCGCTTAATTGGCTTTGTGTGTTTGGCCGCTGTTCGTGTACCGAACACGTGGTGGCGGCCATCTTTGTTCGCTAAGAGTTCAGCGGTGTTTGGTCGTCGAGTGCCTGGAACTCAAATCGGCTACTTGATTTACAAACACCGCTGGACTTCTATAGCGTTCGGGAACCTCGCTCTTTCGGTGAATTAAAGCTGTTCGTGAGTTTTCCCTTTCTAGACCCGGTTCACTAAAAATGGTTTTCTGTGTGTCGTTCGCCTATTTCTGCAGGGAACTGTGCGGCAATTCGTGAGAGTGTTCATTCAGATCCCTGCAATCTAATGAGGGGAAATCTGTTGTAAATTACCGAAGTTATATATTTTAATGTAAAATACAAGATTCCAACTGTTAACATAATTATCTGTGCCTGATGATGTCATTATTGTCCCTGTTTAGTGTTTGGGTTAATCCCGGCACCATAACCACTTCAGTGTGTTAATAATGATAATACTATAATAATAACAACAAGCATTACTACTGCTAGTAATAAAAATATACTATAATCATAATACTAATAGCAATAACTAATAATATTGGTACACACTGTGCAGTATCTCTATACAATGTAAACAATAGAAAATACATACAGCAAACTGATTAGCCTAAAGTTGAAAGTCATTTTATCCCGCCATGATGGCAGAGTTGGGCTATATATGCGTTATTGCGCTGTCTGTACATTGTTTAGAATCCCTCTCCTGCTTTCTCTTTGTAATAAATGCAAATAAAAGAGAATTGTTTGTATGCGATCGTTTTTCTCACTGATTATATATTGAAACTTTTAAACCTTCAATCTTTTGTTTAATGCAGAGTCTGCACTGCATTTGTAGATGGAGAAGAGAACATACATTCAAAAAGGAAGGAGAGAGGGTCTTATGCATCTATAACAATAATGTTTCTGGCACGTCTTCTAAAACTAATATGGAATAATAACCAAATATTATTATTAATATTTATAAAGCGCCAACAAGTTCTGTAGCACTGTACAATGGGTGGACTAACAGATACATAATTGTAACCAGTCAAATTGGATGCACAGTAACAGAGAGATTGAGGGCCCTGTTCAATGAGTTTACAGGGAGTGGGATATAGTGACACAAAAGGTAGGTGTAAGGTAGAAAAGTAGGTTGTTAGGATAGTATTCACTGTGGGCTCGGTGTTGTTTTGATGACAGTTGCAGGAGAGGAATCGGTGCGGGGAGGTAAAGCTGTTCACAGTTTAATTGATATGCCTAATTGATATAATTGATAAAATAAAATTTAATTGACATGCTTTAATTGATATAAATGAAAGATAACAATAATAGGGAAATAAATGGAAAGTGTGGATATTAAATAGTTTGTTTTTGTTTTGTCTTACCTTGCATGATACGCTGTACTCCTGTGCCATCCTCGGTCTACGCCAACCCCGGCCTTGGGATCTTTCCAATGAAGTGTTTTCCAGTTCTGTGAAAATATAAAATACATGGACTGGGGCTTAACACAGACCTAGCCAATGGGACAACACTGTGTCTGATATATTTTGTCAAATAATTAAAGGACTTGTTTGAGAACAGTTACCAGTTAACTTTACACATCACTTATAATATGAATGATTAACTGACAATCCACGAGGAGGGGACGACTTTCCAGTAATGAACACTCTGACTACCTGTGACATGATACCGTGTGTCACTTCCATCTCCGAGAGAAGAATCGGGATGAACTCGATAGAACCTTCATCAAAACCTCTCACTTAATTACTTGAATTCTCACTCAATTACCAGAACCTTCTTTTTTGATCACCAGAACTCTCAGTCTTAATTACCAGAACCTTCTCTCTCTTTTTTTTTTATTCTTTATTTTTCTCATTCCACTTGAGAGTATATCATATTCAAGAAAACTATTTGGCACAATTGTAGCGGCGTAGAAGTATAATCTGCGATATCTCCGCTGGTAGACGTAGTCAGCAAATAAATAAAGAGTAGCGTAGTAATTCCAATCCCATTCCCCAACAACTGGACGTTAACACAGTTTTGGGAGTCAACTGAACCTTTATTGAACCACAGCCGGTTTTATTCAAGTCCCCATGCAAGGGGTTTCCTTAAAGACATTCCAGGAGTTTTCCCCTGGTGGAATTTGTGGAAAACTGAGTGTACAGTAACATTTCCCATAATCCTTTTCTGTACTGGAGAGATAATTGCGTAAGAGCACAGCTTTAATTACATTATCTCTCTGTACAGAGAATTACACAATATTGGTTAAAATATCATAATTAGTATAATATTTATCCGGACTCCATGAAAGACACGTCACTGAATAGCTGGGATCTGAGTGCCCAATCTGTCGAAATACCGCTCAGATCCGTTTGTTAGAATAGAAAAGCCATTCAAGTGAAGTTAGGGACCGGTCAGTAGGGAGTTCCAAAACAGTTCCAGGCAATTGCAGGCTTTGACCGGTCTTCTTTTGGGAGTTCATACAAATTAACAAACAAACATACACATCTATAACATCGTCTGACAGTCGGTGCTTCAATTTAGATGAACGCCGCTCAATTTGGACAAACGGAATTATCTGCACGAACGGGATGGAAGTCCAGCGGTGTTCGCGAGGTCGAGTAGCCGATTTTAGTTCCATGCACTCGATGACCAAACACTGCTGGGCGTTCGCCACATGTTCGTTCATACGAACGGCGACCACCCATTCAACTATTAGGTGTTTGTGGTTTCCCTATGTTGCCAGTTCCTAATTAGAGACACACGACTCCCTTGTGTGGACCTCCATTCGGTACTTTTTTCGGCTCCACGAACAGTATGTCCATGTTCTGTTCGTGGAGCCCAATTAAATGAATGGACATAGTCTTTACAGATGGAATTAAACGAATGAACAGTTCTTGGTACAATGAAGTGGCTAGTTTTGCCACAGGCACAGAGTTAGACAATAAAAAGTCACTGTCATATTATATGTCAAATCATATTAGTTATATGTATGTGTAAAAAGGAGAGAGTGTGTTCCAAGAACAATGTGGAATGAGTTTTAGTTTTTTGTAAAAGTAATAGAATTTCTACAGTGTGGTAGCTAAAGGTTTGTGTAGGGTGGGGGGAGAACAAGGTGCATTTAAGAATTTAATTGAAACTTGTCTGCGAACCAACCAAACTATATGCTCGCAGGAGCAGGCAAGTCTGAGCCTGAGCGAGGTTTTTAATTATAAGATGTCCCTGTTGCTACTTGGTCTTGTTAGTCATAGAGATCCAGTAAAGTTTAATTAAGAAGAGGTGAGACCATGGAAAATAGAAACAAAAGAGAGAAAAATAATAACAATTATATAAAAAAGAGAGCTATTAAGCTGATCGGTGTAAAACGTGGGTAAGTCTCTAGGCTTGTAGAAACTCTTGTAGCTATGGTTTGGCTATCCCCATAGGCTGAGGGGGTCGTGTTGCTCGAGGTGCAAACCCTGGGATCTTCACTGGGTCTAAGTGAGACAGGCCTGTCACACTGGTCTCTGCCGACTGTAGTTTGCTCATATAGTCCTCCAATGCCTGGTAAGTTCCAGCTCCATGGATTGTACTCTGGATGGTATACAAGAGTGCTGGTGGCAAACCCCACCAGTATGGAATGTCTCAGTCTCTTAGCTTTTGCAGTAAGGGTTTCAGGGACTGATGCCACTAAAATATATTTCTGGTGAGATCGGGGAAGATCAGCAGCGAGGCTCCCTCAAATGAAATCGGGGTCTTTCCTCGTACCGCTGCCGAGGGTCTGGAGCTGCAGAGGGAGGCGCCCCAGCTGATTTTGGTAGATTAAACATGCTGCCTAATTTCACTGCCTTGGCGTGTTAAGGCCGAAGAAAAGCGGCAAGAAATCTATGGATAAAATGTGGTAAGTCCTCCATCCCCAGATACTCCGGGATTCCCCTGATCTTCAAGTTGTAGGTCTTCCAGGGTATCCATTCTAGTATCAGAGTGCTGCTGTTGTTGCTGCAGTTCCTGTATTCCTTGCTCAACAGCAGTGATCCGAGTGTCATGATTGCTGTGTGTGGCCTCTAGCTGAGTGATCTTAGTAGCCACTTTCTGGAAGCGGGACATGTCCCCCTTGACATTTGTGCGGAGCTCGGAGAGCATCACCTTAATTTAAGTTACTTAATGTGGCCTCCTCTCCTGGTTCAAAGGAAAAGTCCTCAGAGGAGTAGGATGATCCTTCTTCTAGGGATGCCATGTTGTCCCATGTGGCTTTCTGTGAAATGCAGAACAGATCATCAATGTTCCGTTCCGTCCCAGTGGGGTTTTGTTGGCCTTTTTGTTTTTGCAGCCCATGATGTTACCTCTGGTCAGATAGGTAATTTCAGCCAAGGTTCCACCCCCCCACCCCCCCAAGACCCACACTCACTGTGACGATCTGAACCTCATCACTGGTTCTTGAAGGAGCCTGCTGGCCAGCCTCTTATCCTATGACTATGGCGCCTGCAATACACCTGGCTAAAATACTTTAAAAGGCTCTGTTCATGTGAAGTATGTTCTTTTGTACTCCAGACAGAGAGACCGACCGTTAGCCCTAATTCTCTGGAACTGTTTTGAGCAAGGGACCATGTGCAAGGTCTGTAAACAATAAGACTTCCATGAAATTCCTGAACCCCTGAACTAATCTGTGTGAGTTTTGGATATGTTGGTTACCCAGATCGGGGCTATCAGGGGATGTAACATACGTTTATTTTTTGTTTTTTTTTTGTTTTTAGGGTACTTTTGGGTGTTTTTAAAAAGTATGTTTTTTCTGTGCTTGGAGATAATTGAATTACAATTAGTACAGATATTGATCCAATTATCTCCCAGGCAGAGGGAAGGGATTGTGTGCTTTAGTGGGAGTGCCTTACATTGTAAATGTGTTATTATTGGTTTGTAAGTTTGTGTCCCTGTCCCCAACAAGGTCCATATGGGCGTACACCTTGCTTGGCAAATTGCATAAAAGGCCAGCTGTGGTTTCCATTAAAGAGAGATGCTTTACCCCTTCATGAAGTCTTGGCTCATGTT